ATCAGGAACAAACTATACTTCACACCCTATCCTTGCAGGGGACCCCCCAAGGGTCCTTGCTTGGACCTACATATTTTAATATTTACGTGAATGACATTCCCACCACACATGACACAACACTAGCTATGTATGCAGATGACACAGCGATCCTGGCACAAAGTGCATTTATTGGTACAGTTAATCCAACGACTACAAAACTACATACACTCACTAGAGATTTGGCTTGCCAAATGGAAGATAGCAGTGAATGTGGAAAAGACTAAAGCAGTCCTCTTCACAAGAAAAACCAAGATCAGAAGCACTCTGAAATTCTACAATACCAGCATTCCATCTGCCAAACAAGTCCTTTATCTTGAGGTGATCCTCAATAATACTCTTACGTAGTCCCCACACATCACTTCTATTATCCAGAAGTTCCGGGTTCGTAAAGCACAACTCTATCCCTTAATTGGTCGGAACAGTGTTTTATTCATAGACAATAAGTTACTTATTTACAAATCCATTTATCAGACTATCGTTGTGTTATGCCAGTCCAGTTTGGGCGCATACTCGAAAAACTAATAGGCAAAAACTGTAGGCATGTCAGAATATTGCTCTTAGGCAGATTAACTAATGCAGATTGGTACATTAGAAATAAAAGGATCCATGAGGAACTTGGTATGGAATTGCTCAGATCTTACTACTACAAACTAGCAAAAACTTTTCATGCAAGGAAACACCTCATTGACAACTCCAGTGTTAAAATATGTGCCTATGATTACAGTGATTTAAATAATATGGATAGGCCTCTGGCATAGTTAAATACCATGTACATGCAAACCTACCTCTTTCTGATGCTAAGTACCATCACTTTTACGAACCTTTGTAATATTCTTGTATCTTGTGTTTGTATATATGTAAATTATTCCATTACCCTAGAATGCATTTTGTTACTGTATACTATATTCTTTTTGTATTACTTTTTAACATGGATTCAGGTTACTAATATTTGCATATACTTACAATGTATTTTTATACCAGCCTCACCAGCTCGACTGCCTCTGTGCCTAATTCAATTCACAGCTTATCAACTTCCCAGTTCATTAACATATCTGTTACTTCTTAATTGACAGACCTTATTCAAGTTAGGTTCTTTAATTTTTTATTAAAAAAACTTATATCCTTAATTGAATGGTTACTCTTCATTAACTTTCTAAGCAAGTAAAATTTTATTCTACAAGGGGTAGAGCCTAGGCTCAGGCACCCTGGTGTTGCAAGCACCTTTACATAGGAAAGCTGCACTGACGCTCACCGGATTTATCGAGTCTTGATTTCTTTTTTTTTGGGGGGGGGAGCCAGCAAAACTGTCATGTATCACGATTCTGTTGTGTCTGAAATGGATCTCGTGGCAAGACTCTCCTGCGCAGCTGTTACAATCAAAGAAACTCCCGATGTGTTTGAACATGTCTGGCAATCAATGGTCCATCGGTGTCAGGCATGTTTGGCGTCTGATGGTGCAAACTTCGAACATCTGTTGTAACATTCAAGCTGTCGTACATCATTTGTATTCATGTCCAATAAATGTTTCAAATTAATCACTCTCCTGTTTCCTTTCCCATCTTCTACCTCTGCTACTACTTACCCCTGGCATTTCCGAACATATGTTCCTATTGAATTCTTAATCATTATGATGTGTCCTACCTCCCACAGAAGTTTGTCGAAACATTTACGGGACACCCTTTATAATTAGAGGGTGGTTAAAAAAGTGACTCCATATTGATTTCCATAAACTTTGAACTAGACACATATTTCGAATTAAAAAGCTTCTCGAAATAAAAGAGAATTTTATGAAAGCAGTTTCATCACTATGGAGGCAGGCTTCTGTAAATTAAAAACTCGCAAATGTATGAAAATTGAAATGTAACACAATTGTGACACCGTATTCTGAGTTGTAGAAGCCGAGATTTTAAAACCTGAAAAACTGAACGGTTCATATGTTACAAAACATTTTCCAAACGGGAACATTATATAAAAGAACGCAGAAGCCTAAGTGCAACCAAAACGGTTTTCCCACAGCAACGTTCATCATAAGCATAAATATGCTACTTCGATTCAGATCTATGTATCTAATAATTAAGTAAATCTTTTCATTTTTTAAAGTTTTTTTATGTAATTAATTGCAATCAAAATGTCCTTTGGTTGAAAATTCTGATTTTTATTGTTCTGTCGCCCGCGATACATACAGCAATGTTTAATTGTCCCTTTGTCTCTTAAGGATTAAATTAAATGAATGCGAATGAGAGAAATTGCATTGTAAATAGTATAAAATACAGCATATGGATTACTATGAAATTAATTTTTTCCTTTATTTAATGTTAATTACGTCTTACTCTCTACAATTATTAATTATGGCAAAACACTCGACGGCTGTCTGCCTAAGTGGAGAGATGCCTTCGCGGAGAAGGTTGGTTTGGTTGCTTTATTGAATTATGGCAAAGCAAGCGAAAGCTATCTGCCTAAGTGAAGGCATGCTTTCGTGGAGAATTTTCTAAGAGAATACATGTTACACATGCGAAAAATCACGAAGACGCAGCCAGCCCGTTCGCCGAGATTTGAAACCCGGACCAAGTTACCAACTTTCAGCTACTCCACCGTTCAGCAGCTGGTGGGCGCATTATGTACAGTACACGGTTTTATGCGCGATTAGCTCCTCGAACTTGCTAGTCGCTTTTCTGCGATAATTCTTCGACTCCGTCGTTAGTGGATATGTTACCGTGAAAGACCGAAATTGGAGAATGTCGACTTTCACCGGAGAATATCAACATTCAGCAAATACATCGGTGAAAGATCGAATATTTCACTACATTCTTGTATATTCGAACCCTCACCGGTGTATGTCGACAATCACAGATATGCTCTGGTGTCGAAAAGAGAGGTCATAAAGTGCCATAATAGTTTAAGTTGTTGCAATAAATAAGATTTGAATCACATAATTTAGTAAGTTTTTTATTACTGTTATTTTATTTTCTCATTTAGAACGTACTGTATAATTAAATAAGTTTTTAACTTCTATTATTTTCCTTTCTCATTTTGAATGCATTGTGTGTTTTAGGTTCTCATGTTCTTAAGTTCTTATTTCAAGTTTCAAGTGCGTTTATTCGCGACTGAATTACGGAGAAGAAAATATAATATTGTTATATGTTTAACATTCACCATTAGTACATGGTGAATATCGACATTGACCGATCTAAGTCAGAAATAAGAGTATTTGGAAAATATTTCCGACATACACCAAGAGACTATGTGAATGTTGACATTCACCGGTGAAAGTCGACATTCTCCAGATTTCGGTGTTTCACCGTAACAGATGTACATGCACCATTGTGTATAAACTTCTGCAGCAATCATCCGAAATTCTCAAACGGAGAAGCAACTTATTATTTAGTATAGAATCCATTAAGACCGCCCTACTGTAGAGAAATTATGCTACTAATATTTCAATTTCTCTCTAAGTTGCTAATACCAGCAACTCAGAGATTATTAAGTGATTAGTAAGAAACCTTTATTTGCTGATAAGTTAAGGTATTCGATGATAAGTGAAGAGACAAATTTTATCATGAATAGAAATCTTACCGGGAATTATGTTGCTAAATTAATTAATAGACCAATAGACCTTTTTGTAGCTCTTCGGTATGGTGCAAATATTATGCTGCATAATAGTATATTATAACACTTATAGTATAATGTAATATTATATTATATTATACTGAATTATGTTATATTTATATTTATATTTATATAATATTATATTATATACTATACTATACTATATTATATTATATTATATTATATTACATTATACTATATTATATTATATGGTTTACAACTTATAATTACTTTTGTTTTAGGGATACGCTATTAAAAACGTTTAGGGATAGCGGCTTTTTAGAATATTGTCAAAATGCTGATCATGTTTTCTTAACGAACGTGCTGCTATGGCTTTGAATCAATCATAGCAATCCCGATGACATCGTTTTCACAGCTCTCCTTCTAGATTACCGGATGTTACACTATGTTTCTTGTTCTTTTGAAGGTACTTTTAAGATGTTCTGTTTTAATTTGCAATAATTTTCAGCAAATTTACATGATCTCGAAGCTCGTTTTGCTATTGCTACGGATACAATATAGCAAGTATGGCGAGAACGTGATTTTCGTTGTCTAAACAACTGACCGGTCGCAGGAAACACTTGCATGATCAACTTAGATGGGTTTCTTTTCACTTCCTTTATTACTTGTAACTTGTGTTCATAAATTTTGGAAATAAAATCATTTGAAACAGGTCAGACATTTTGAATCACCTTGCATTTTGCATCTCACTGAAAACAGCGAAATTGACTTTGACTTCATGAATATACAGACAATGTAATAGCATGATTGGAGTGCTTTAAGACGTAAATGCGACTTTCGTTTCAGCCGTAATTTACCACTGTTTTAAGCGAAAGGAGGAATTTATTTTGTCTATTATTGCTGACCTTGCACATGAGTCAGTTTTAGTCAACCAGCGATCTACTATTTTCAGTAATTGTGTCCCACAGTTGATTCTGACGGCAAACTACCCAAATATGAGGAGTGCTTTTATTTTTTTAGAACGAAATCCATTCTGTTTAATATTGATTTTCAGTCCTTGTCAATCAGCCGTTCTAAGTGTATTTCAGCTCTGACATAAAATGAATAAAATACTTTAGGTAACTTGGCGTATTTCTGTTTTTGAGGCTAAATCCATTAGTTTTTGAACTATTTAATGTCATGGATAAATTGGAAATAGAATACTTTCGCCTCCCGTCCACTATACACGTAAATATAGTTACTCATATCAGGCTTTTAGTATGTATGAATAGAAGAAAAATGAGGTGAAAATAATTTTAAGCTCCCAAAATATTTCATAACTATTTTATTATAAAAAAATTGGATTCTTTTGCCGTTTATTATGCTTTATAATGACATCATAACTTTCATTTCAGGGAAGGAAATGAAATGAACGACACAAAGAGAATTACATATAAAGAACTTTTGGAAGAAGTTTGCAAGTTCGCCAATGTTCTGAAGAATAAAGGTTAGTACAATTCTGTTTCTTCATCCACACAAAAGCAGTAACAGGGATAAAATAATAAATAAAAATTTTGAGATTTATTAACGTAAGTTTGGATACAGATTTCACGATCCTACAGCTAAATTATTGCTTTCAACTTGAGTTTGATTAAAAAGAGGGATATAGTAAAATAATAGTGGCTTCAGAGAGAAGTAAAGATATCACAAGTTATCATTTTTAGGGTAACACAAGTTAACGCTTTTTTATTTGGGAATATTATATCCATTTATAATATGATTCTATAAAAATATAACTGAAATTATGGCACCTTTTATTTATGACACATTTTAAATCACTGCATGAATTTTTATTCATGCATATGTTTGAAACACTATGTGATGGGGAAAACGAAAGATTAGTGAGATATATGTAAGATTACTTGCAAGATTTTGCGTCATTTTATAAGCCACATTTTTCGGCATTCAGTATTTTCATGGACTGCTATGATCATTTTCATTTTAGGCAATATACCTCCTCCATCCAAGTCTGAAATTTTAAAGATCTTGCTTAAAAGAACAATTAAAAAGATACAAGCGTATTAAATCTACTAGACAACTCTACTTACACTCAGTTTCTAACTACGTTACCTACACTAAATTTCAGAGCTTTGTACAACAGAATGTGAGAGGGATGGCAGGTTATACACGCTATGTTTTGTCAATTCAAGTATACTGAAATATGTGTAGTAATGTATGACTTTTTTTTCTAAATGGATTAAGAAATATTATGGGCTTATGTTATAAGAAATCACATTATCCCGTACAGTAAAATAACTTCTTTCACCCTGACAAATTCCACTTTAAACGAAGGTTTAGTCATAGAAATGCATGGGTTTGAAGAAAGTTAAGAATACGAAAGTCTCCTGAAATCCGCATACATTTCGATGGCACTCTGTAACGGAGTGAGGTGAAATCTTCAAAAATGATTATATTGGTTTTTACATATGGAAAATTAACATGGACATCAGGATATATCTAAAGAATTTTTTTTGGCAATTCCGTCATGCTATTGCAAGAAATTATTAGGTAGAGCTTTTATTTCCTGGAAGGTAATGTTCGATGATTTCAGCGATGGATAGTTTTCGAATTCATTGTTTAATACTTCTGACCCAACCATACTCAATAGGCTTGAAGTTATAAGGTATTTTCTCCCTCCTTTTGCATGCCTTCGTGGTGTAACTGGATAGCACGTTAGGAGGGCAATCGGAAGGCCCGCTGTTTGAATCCCGGCAAAGTCACTGTGGATTTCTTCAGTTTACTGATATTAAAAAAAAAGAAAAGAAAAAATAAATAAACCTAAAGATGCTCGCGTTCTGGCGAAGGCACAGCACACTTTTCACGTCTCTTGCTTCAAAAAACCTAATGACTGTAAAGCACCCAGACCCCATCCAAATTCGGTAAATTCTACATAAATAATAAGTAAATAAATATATTACAATGTCGCTTAGAAGCATTGTAATAGAATCTGTATTGTCATATTTAAAAAGAGCTTTTCTACCTATCTGAGACAGAATATTCTTAAAAATATTTTAACTCTTTCGCTGCCAATACGTTTCTTCGGCGAAAAAATTGAAATAAGTACTTTAATACATCAAATACAATACAAATATGGATAACACGCCGAAAAAAATAAAATATAAATCACCAGGGGTGAAGGGAGCAGTGGGACATATGTGTCCCATTGGTGTGTATAAAACACATATGTCCTAGTGGTACTGAAAATAATGACTGAAAATGAAACGAAAAGCTAAGTTATTTTTACTCAGATCAATTTTGCGAAAGATGTAATTAAATAATAAACACTCATGTATAATACAGTGCGAAACAGTTTTTATAAAGTGCAATTTTGCACATTGCGCATACAGCTTTTGTCCTTTTTCTCTTTGGCACAGCGTATACATCTTCGGTAAATTGAAACTTCTACTGGCAAGTGATCGCCCACACTCAACAAAAATTTTGATGCATCCATGGCATAAACTGCTGACTTATGGAACAAAATAACGTGGTCAGCAGAATGAGCTAAATTACTGTTTCTTTTTTCAGCCTTTTGCGTGTTACCTTGCATGTTTTGTGCTAATACATTAGGAAAAATATCATTATAGTCCGAAGCAGCCGAAGACTCACATGATGCATATTCAACATGTCACAACTTTCGCTTGGGCGACCCTGAAGTACCTGGATTTTCTGACTAAAGCTTCTGATATGACGTTTTTTCAGAACTCTTACTATTAGAGGAAACTTATTTTTGACATTTTGGTCTGAATCATCCAATTTATCATCTGAATCCGTTTCATCCAATAGACGCTGAATTTCCTCAGCTGACACTCTTTTCCGTCTACTCATATTATTTACAGGTCCAAAAGGCACAAAGGGAAACCATGAGAAAGGAGCTTCAATATATATTTTCATAGCCAGTAGGACAATAATGTACCAGTAAAGCATATCACTGGGACACTTATGCCCTGTATAATCGATTAGTATAAAAATTGCAATCATTTGTGAGATTTCAAGTGCACGAGACTTCACTCTGTAATACAACGAGAATAAATGGATTCCAGAGAGAGAAAAATACCGCGCTTTGACAAATTGGGTCGAAAAACATTTTTGGGAAGTTTCTGCTGCCGTCTGTTGGGAGGAAATCATAGTAAATTATTAGTGTTACGAAGAAATACCACTGGGACATGCACTCTTATTAATGCAACGCATTTTTATCCCATAGGGTCATTTCAAACTGCCCTCGGGACATGTATGTCCCGATGGCTGCTAAAGGGTTAAATTGTATTAGCAGCACAAGAAGCCGACGTCGATGCTTTTTGTAACACTAATTTGCTAAAGGCTATCGATACGTATTCTGTCTTGTTGTTAGTTTTAACCTCTGCTATGAATTATATCATTTAATGCTCTTTTGTTAATTTCTTTGGGTCTTTTTTTTTTTTTTCTATTTTTGGATTTTCTAGCATAGTCTAATGTTCAGAACGTAAGTAAACGCTACCTTTTTCATTCTTTTTTGGATAATTTTGGGTTTGAGCTATCACTACCAGTTTGTACACTGAGTCATTTTTCTCTATTCAGATAAATATCTCTTGACTTCGTTTAACTAACAGGAGTTTGTGAGAATTGGCCATTTTTAAAAGATTGAGAGTTTTGATTTCCTCAAAAAGCAAAGGAGTTCTATTTTTTTAATTAATTAGTTGAATTATTAACTTAATAAAAGTTCAGCTATTAAGAAGTTATAGCTATTTTTATGCTCTGATTTTACCGGCTGGTATTTTATCGGTAAAATAATGTTGTGACCATTTTTATTACAATCACTATTGCTGGCGTCTTTATAGTGCATTCAACTTTAATTCTTGGATTTATAGTCGTTCGTTTCTCTTTTTTTTTGTTTTGCATACCACTGGTTTTCTCTTTTGTTTATTCTTCTAAGTAAAGCTGTTATTGCTTGTAAATCGTATAACTTGTTTCACGATTTTATAAGCATATCGAGTTAGTAAGTCGAATAAAAGCATCACTAAATAAAACAGTTTTAAATTAAACTGTAACAATAATTAAACATTATTAATCTTTCTCAAAACTTTTTAGAATTTAGAAATGGAATTCTTAATTAAATTGGTATTTGACACCTCTGGATTTTCATGCGCAAAAATTGAAATACTCTTAAAAGTGCATCATGTCATTTTTACGTAATCATTAAAATTTATACTGAATGCGCTATAACTACCAATGTACTTCCAGGGTATTTTAAGACACATTTCGCCTCTCTAAAGAAATTATTTATATTTTGCTAAGTTTTTCTTGAAAGACGATATTCTTTTATGCTTCATATGTGCTTATAATAAAAACTGAGTTTATGAAAAAGTTAAAATATTAAACAGTTTTCTTTATTTGAGAACTGCAATTTCAGAATAAATTCGACAGATTATTGTTATTAGAATAAATGCTAACAGGTCAAAAAAGGGATAAGAGAGAATTTAGCTTTTCTGTTTTCACATTAATTTTTAACAAATCATTTTATATATCAAAAGTGTGCATACTCTCGTTGAATTTATTCTTTCCCATTTCTTTTCATTTTTTTAAAATTAATTTTTGCAGGTCTCAAGAAAGGAGATCGCGTAGCTATATACATGCCGATGATTTTAGAGCTGGTGATAGCCATGCTGGCATGCGTGCGCATTGGTCTTGTTCATTCTATAGTGGTGAGTAAATGCAAATGCATGTTTGTCATACATAATAGTAGCACTGTTTTACATATCACCTCTTATGGGGTATATTCTGTCTTCAATTAAATTATAACCAAATAAAACCTTGGAAATGTATTTATCAAAGCTTAAAATCTATCTCATTTGGCTTTACGGTTTCAGTTAGGCATAGAAAACAGAATGAACACCGACATGGCTGTCATAATATCAGCAAAGAACGTGAACGTGGGAAAAGATGGTCCCATTCATGTTCTTTGGTGGTAACGTTGAAGAATATTGTATTAACTAACCCAGCTGAACTATACTATTATTTTTCTTGTATCACTTGAGTTTTGAATTGGATATTAAAGAAGTAAATATTAAATCTGAAAAATGGATACGACGATGGCGAAAAATAGTCAATATAACTAAGAATATATAGCTGAAACATTACATAGTTCTCAGGCTAACTTTCGTGGTGATCTGCTTTCTATAGCTGTTGTATAAGGTGTTTTCTCCCTCCTTTCTGCATGCCTTTTTGGTGTAAAGGTAGCACACTCGGAGTGTATTCGAGAGGTCCAGGTTCGAGTCCCGCAAGGGCATTGCTCATTTTTCACATCTCCTGCTTCAAATTAACCTAATGTCTCTACAGTTGAAACAAGTAAGCATTAAATGAAAGGGTTGATAAATTAAATCATCCTTTCATAAGTTTATCTTTTTTTTTTTTTTTTTTGTAAATGACGTGAAATTAATTGTAGTGAATTACAGTATAGTTGTGAAGCGAGCGTCATCTTAAAGGGAAGTTATACATGTGGCTGCTCGAAACCTTATGTTAATCAGGCTTCATGTATACGAAAAAAGTAATCTATATGATTTATTTTTCTTGGGTTAATATTATATTATATGTAGCGTTACAGACACCTTTCAGCGGCGCGAATATTTTTTGGTCAGATAAACATTAGAAATCATATTTGAAAATGATGAAAATTTATCAGACAAATATAGAAATATCATTACTTCAGTGATGACGTCATTAATCGACGTAGCTGACGTTATAAATGGTATAGATGTGTATGAAGAAATCTCAGCGTTTGAAGCCTTATTAGTAATGATAAGGTTTCAAACGCTGAGATTGGTAATGAGATTAGTAATGAAGGCTAGTTTTCTGGGTTAAATTAATAAAAAGTTATTTACAATCAACTACGTACTATGAACGGGTAGTTAATTCAGCATCGCTGTCGGTATAGAGTGATACATACAGCATATTAAATATTCTTTCATTTCTTTAGAAAAAATAAGAAATTTGGTGCAATACGTGTGAAAAAGTCAGAGCGTGTTTCCAAGGTCTTATCTTTGTTTTCAATAGACAGTTCAAAAACTTTAATTAACTTCATTTAGCGTGTCTTTTTCTGTCTTTCTCTTTTTATGATTTTTTAAATATCAAATCATAAAAAAATTGCATTAAAAATACAAGTAAATATTTGAAGATTTTAAAGACTTTATTTTAATATTATTTACTCATTAGATTTTTATTGCAGAATGTAGTTTTTGCATATAAACGCCAAGTACCTTAACGCCGCATCTGGTTTAAAGCTTTAAATTCTTTTTTATTTAACTTACTCTGTTTCGTGGACGTTAATTTGTTTTCAAAGATGAATATTCATTTACGAGAAAGAGATTAAAGAAATTTTAATATTTCATTAATGATTAATATTCCTTTTCCGTAGTTTGGTGGGTACTCCGCAGAATCACTTGCTGAGCGAATGATGGATGCGAAAGCTTCACTTCTAATTACTGCTGGTGAGTGAGTAAAAGCATGCTTTAATTCATATTTGAGAGGAAGGATCATTTCATAATACGGATATATTCTTGCAGAAAAAGCATTTTAGCCGTTTGCTAATATGGTATATTTAGCGCATAGAGGAAAAAATGCAAAGTATAATTATTTTCTTTTATGTTTTATTATAATCAATTTTATTAAAACATATTTACTACCATTTAGTAACTTAATCATTTGATGTGTTATTCATTCCATAAACAATAAGCGCGGTAAGTGATTATTGTTGAATTTCTTTTTATTACCATCCGTTTTGATAAAGACAGCAAAAATTGATCTGTTTATCTATTTTATTATTTTATATTATTTTTTCCCTCCAATTTTAACTGATTATAAACTTTTATCTTTTCACGTATTATGTGCTTAGCAAGGATACCATTTGTTTTTCTCTTTCTGCAGCAGAATATATTGTTACACATAGATATATATATATAATTTTATACATACGTAGATAATTTTAATGAAATAATATTTGAAATTGTTGTATTTTTCTGTATAATGTAATATGTAAAATTTGAGGGAAACGATGCTCTATCGAAAAAATAAAAATACAGAGGCAAGACTATTTAATATTGAGTAAATGGAGAGCTATCGCCAAGCTAACAACGCTCTGGGCAACTAGTTTTTCTACTCATATTAGAAGAGAAATTGCCAAAAGTCGCCAAGCCTGGCGACCATTTGACGACATTTTGGCCCTGTATAAATGTAATGGGTATCGTAATTGAATAACAGTTTTGGGTCCTCTATGCAACTGTAACCGTATCCGGCCTGCATATGCCTTCCAGTAATTTGGGAAGTACTTAGATATCTCTCGGCGGCCGGGGAAAAACTGTATAAGACCGGGGAGAGCATCAACTTCTCAGTTGTGTGTTATTAGTTCAGTGAACTTTATCTTTTAGATGGCTTTGCATTGCACTCTGTTTAACGTTCTTAGTAGCTTAAAGTGTAACTACTGATTATACTCTGTGATACTATGAACTTCTACGAGTATTTCCGTGGAAAGTTCCAGAACTCTGGAGTGTATCTGTTCTTTTGATAAAGTTTATTACATTTAAAAGATACACTTCAGAGTGATAAAATAAATTTTACCAAAAGATACACTTCAAAGTTTTTTATAAAATAAATTTTATCAACCTCCCATGGAATCTGTGTTCCTTCAATCTATTAAGAACCCGTACGCACGCAAGAATATTTTAATAAGAAGGTTGCCACTGTACTCTGGTTTTCGCGTAAAATGAGATTTTCTGTTTCTTTTAGCTATTTTCTCACTATAGCATAATGGTTTTTTAATATTAATATTTCATGCTTTTGTTCTCTTTGATGGGGAGACTTAACTCTTCATTTAAAATATAATATCATACACATATGCGTAAGAAAAAAGTATGTCAAGCAAAATTTTGTCTTTAATTTTCAATAGTTCTTTAATCTTAATTTATGTACTTCCCCTTTCTGTCATAAAAATAGCAACTGCTTATAATAAATCGCCGTTAAATTTTTTGTTACTATTACTATATATTTAAATATACAATATTATTCTTTTTCAACATGATACCATACTAAAATTTTCTAGTATTAGAAATTTAAATTTTAATAACTAGGAAGAATAAATTGTACAATGAGTTTTAAAAAAATTCAGATATCGTTTTAGAAAACTTATTAAAATTTAATGAATTAATAATTATAATTTTGCATTATTGTTAAAGATCTTGAATAATTTTCAAAAATTTTGAATTATTTTAAGAATCACGTAACAATGATACATGAATGTAATTTTGAATATCGAAAATAATCCAATATTTTTTGCTTATTAATAAAGAAACTATTAAATGTTGTAATATAGAATATTGTTATAATTAGTGTGAACTTAAAGTAATTTCAAGTTATGGTGCAGGAATATTACAATTATTTAAAGAATGATTGAATATAAAGCTTAGGCTATGTTGTAAGGATTGCTGGTTAAAAATCAGAGGCGAATTTTTACATCTGAATAACTCTTTCTCTCTCTTTTTTTTTTTTTTTTTTTTCATGCAAGAAAATTTTAGGGCTACGAAGAACGAATATGATATATTTTTAAAATTTAATGTTTTATAATGAAAACTTTTAATACAGTTCTCAGAAATCCAATTAACTTGTGCAAGGGAATGGAGCTTTTCTCAAGTAACTGTTCGAGCAACCTTTAACCACTTGTGCAATAAAACATCAATAAGTCAAAAAAAGATATGCCTTACTTTGGTCGGAATTGTTTGTTTTAGAGAAATGCTGAGTCTTCAGTTTAGGAATTCGAAGAGAAAATATATAAGAATGAATGCATAATTTCAATAAAATATTACAATAATTAATATTGTAAATATTTGCGATTTGTTATAATGTCATTTGCTATCCCTGAAAAATCAAATTAATTAGTTGGGCTTTAACAGAAACTTTATGAATTGGACTGAATATTAGAATTTTAATTAAACTACAAAAGTATGCATATTTTAAAAAATATAATGCACAAAATTCAGCTTCTCCAATTATTTACAAATTAATTCTCTTAAAAATTCATGATTTATGTTTTCCATATAATATTTCTCTTCATTTTTACAGTTTTAATGCTTTTTCGCTACAAATGCTTTTCTGTCGCCAATACGTTTTGGCTTTGAATGTGGGGGTATGTAACATAAAATGTATATAAAGCAAAATTCTAAATTTAATTTGCAACAGTCCATAATAAATCGCTCTAAGCTGAATTATTTAAAAATTAATTCATACCACAGGATCTTGCACAACGCTACTCATGCAGACACTTACATAAACGCTTCAGCGAATACGATTTCAATATAGAACCGAAATCAGTCTTAATATCCATTGGAAGAGAAAGCCTTTAGTAAGTTGAAGTACTGAAAGAATGTCTTCAATGGAAACCTCTGGCGACTTCCTCCTAACCCGAAAATAGAAACCGTTCATAATTTCAAAACAGCTGCAGATTCACGATTGTCTTGAAGAACATTGGAATGCATCAATATTTTGCTCAATCTCCTTTGGCCTCTAAATATAAGGCCATGTTTTTAAGGGGGGTGGTTCTTGTTTTGTTTTCCTGCAGAACATATTGCAACGATCATTGGAAAGCAAGAGGCTTATTATTTGCTTGTCTGAAACACATCCGGTATAGTAGTTAGTGACGCTGATTGACATGCCGATGGGCCCCGGGTCGAATCTCGGATAAAGCATGTATGTTTGTAAGCATATACTGTTTGTGCGGCAAGGGGGGCACTGTTCACGGAGAGCCAAAAATCCTCTCGAGAGGTTGTTGGTAGGGGAAGAGGGGAGTTCTCAGCAGGGTGTTCTCCCTCAAAATTGGGGTGGAAGTTGAACAGTTTGCAAGGTCCAGCAATAACTAATACGTATCTATCGGAATGCTTAAGTGCTTGCTTCAGCTTGTACCTGTTTACATTCCTTTTGCTATGATTTACATTTTTGCGCTTTTGTTTTCAGTTATATTTTGTTTTACAATATTCTTTATTATAATGTTCTTAGTTGGATTTAGGCCGCTGAGGTGGAATAAAAAATTATCATTGTTTTGTTCAAATGTCATCTTATGATACTAACTGCAATATTTCTTATGGACTTTTTTTTTCCCCCTTGTTTAACAGATGGAGGCTTTCGTGGACCAAAATTAGTGAATTTAAAAGAAATCGCTGAAAAGGCGGTTGAAATATGCGTGAATAAGTACGTGTGTTCCAAATTTCTTTAGTTTGAGCTTTAAACAATTTACTGTGAACAATAATTATCTGAGCTTTATGCTTACAGAGGACATAAACTGAAAGCAGTAATTGCTGTGAAGCATCTGGGATCTACAAAGGAGGGTAAAGAAATGCATCCACATACACAGGTACAATCTAATAGTCTAATATCAAATCATTGCATGTCGGAAATTAACATTTAATAGATTTTAAAAAATATTTTTTTTTTATTATAAATATTTATTGACTAAAATTCAGACAACTTTTCTTCCGTTTGAGATACAATTTTCTGCTCGTGTCTCAATTTCAGACATATTTCTTCCTCTTAGTTACAGCAACTTTTATTTTGATGAAATGATTTACAGCCTGGTGCAAATGTATGCTATATTATATGCTACATGATTTTAGGAGTTATTATATTTATAAAAGAATTTTAACGTTATTAAGGAGCGAAAAATCTTTTGACTTTTCGAATACATAATTTTTTTGTTCTTAAAATTTATTAAATTAAATTAAAAAATTAATTTCTTAAATTTACTTAGTTAAAAAAATTCGAATTTTCATTATTCATTAAATTAGCTTGTTATTTGTAACCGAACAAATTCATTGTATTTAAAAAGCGTATTTAATTATTAGTTCATATATTACGCTTTGCGTACCATTTCATATATCATATTTAAAAAACATTTTGTTTAATTACATCTTCAGAAAACTGCAAGCAGTCTGTGTTTCACTTAAATACGGGGTGCAGCAGGGAAACTTTCTTATTTGAAACGCGCGTCATCTAGCGACATGTATTCCGAGAAGGGTGGGATGGCGCTTATTGAAAAGAGCGGTATCTAAAGTTTTATGTAATGTAGGTTTAGTACCGATCATGCAGTGGACGAGAGAGGAGCGCGCGTTCTTCGTTGAGTCGTATTTTTCAACGTACTGCATTTTCATCCATATGAATTGGCAGTGGTGCAAAAACTTAATCCACGCGATTTTCTTTCACGAAAATGATAAATTCCCGACCATACGGGATCGAAACATGTATTCTACGCTAGGAGTTCGAATCTTAACTAACTGAAATTGCACATGCATTAAGCAATGCGCTGCACGATAACTTTGGATTGGCCGAATCCCCGTAGGAATTTCATGACAGCCCCTCCATACAGAACATGTGACTCTTTGGTGTGCATTGTCCAGAATAGGCATCATTGGACCATGATTTTTTTGGAGAACATTTCCCTGGACGCCTTATCTCCTTATGAGGCTATTGTCAGTGGCCAGCGCGATCGCCTGATTTAGCCCAGTGTGATTTCTTTTTGAGGGGCTATCTGAAATCTGTAACGTCCAAAGACCCTAGCTGCTATCGAAAACATACCCGTTGATATGCTGGTAAAAGTGGAAAGAAGCTTCAAAACTCGACTATCTCAGTGCATTGACCAGAACGGAGGCCACCTTAATGATATTATTTTTAAACCGTAATAAAAAAAACTTTAAGTGTCTCTCTATAAACTTGGAAAAAAGTTAAACTGATATTGCTTATACTGTTTGTGTTATTCATTTTTTAAAATAAGGTAGTTTCCCTGCCGCACCCTGTATTATTTTACATTATGTTTCAATTCTTTTAAAGATATCTTCCTTAAATAGTAAACTTGCAGTTTAAATAAGTAAGCTATAAGTTTTTTTGTGTAATTCTTAATTAATTGATTTCATTCATTTTAATGCAGAATAGCATGGGTTAAGGACGTAATTTAGTATGGCACAGTAATCGAAAGCTAACTGTCATCGGGAAGAGACGTTTTCAGGAAAGGATTGTGTAAAGAAACTAATTCATATATGTACATTCAAATATAATGTTTGGTTTATTACGAAGGCTTAAAATGCATGTAGATACAAAACCACTCATCATTTAGTATCATAAATATGCACGGATATTTAAAAATAAAGACTTATTCATTTCTAATGCTTGGTGTTTGTAATACGTATAATATCTGCAATGATGATAACATGCGGATAAAACATCATCCATCCAAATATGGAAAAATAAGCAGATGATTTATCTTGCAAGCAGAAGAAATAAATTTGCATATAAATAAATTCAATATAGTGCTAGAAGGGTACTTTTTCTTCTTTGTATATTGTATGATTATCGCAATAAAATTTAAGTTTACTTTATTGTAAGAACCAAATATTATAACGTAACAGATGTGCTTTATTTGGCAGCTCATATTAATGGTGGAGCTTACTATCAATAAGACTTTGATTATTAGTTAAACTTTTGAAACATCAAAAGAGCTTTCGTATACGCAAAACTGATTTCCTACAGCACGGGATTCAGAGCCTTATCACGTGTCAGTTGCAGTTATTAAACTTTTATTTTTCCTTATTAATTACTTTGCCTTAAACGTACGTCTCAGGATGAAGCTGAACTACATAATTTTTGCTTTCTCCAGGGAAACTGGAATATTGATTGTACAGTTACATTCTGGCACAATGAAATGGCAGGCGTTTCGAATAAATGCGAACCAGAATGGATGGAAGCTGAAGACCCATTGTTTATACTTTACACAAGGTAACATTTTAAAAGAAATGTTTCAGTTTTCATTCAGATTTTTCTTGCAGCATAGAAAGACCCTGTTACAAAACCAAAATCTGCAACCGATTTTTATTGCAAAGATCTCCCTCTCTTGCTTTCAGGCCAAGAAATACGCTATACCTTTTCTTGCCTTTTTTGCTCTCAGTTGTTTTATTTTTGTGAATTAAAATAGAAGAAAATTTTACTCAGGGACTTTCTGGAAAAAATTACATATTTATTTAATGTGAGAAAAATACGAAAATTTACTATCCTTCTTTTGATAGAGTATTAGAGTTCAAGAAACTTCTTCAAAATTCTACTATACCAATTCATTCACTTAAATATTTTCTTAATACTTCGATTTTTGATCTAACGTTTTTAATGATGTAATCAAATGCATTAGATTTCTTTACATTCCTAAAAGGGACAATGTTCTGCAGTAGTATCAAGGTTTCTTTGATATAGTCATTTAATTCTGTATTTCATTTCTATTTATTAAATTCTCCCCTGGCATTCACTGATTGAATGCCAAATATAACTGATGATAATAACTGAAAAATAATCAGTGAAGGATAAATTTCCATTCTGAAATTTCTGGAATTGAATGTGAACAAAAATACCAAAATTATTTTGGTAAATTATTAGATATCGACAAGTATTGCTATAAACGTATAAGGTATTTCTCCCGCCTTCTTGGTGCATGCCTTCGCGGTGACTTCTTAGCATTGTCGGAGTCTCCATTAACTGGAGTCGAGTTGATAAGTTCGATTCAATGTTTATTGATTTAAATACTTCAGTTTTTTAAACACTCTTGCTAATATTTTGTTATTATAAACTAATATTTTGTTAATTTTTAGTTGTACTAAAGGCACAGCTTCAATAAACCTTCATTTACCTTTTACCTTTTGTCTGTTTATTGAAAGTTAGTTTGATATCTGTTTAGTTGCAAAGTTGGCGACCAAATGATGAAAAAAAAAATGTAATATACTTCGCGCACGCGCAGTTAAAAGTTATTTTTATATTTCACTAAAATTAAGTTTATATCTCATCAAATATTTCTGTTTTTATTTCATATTTCAGTTTGAGGTTTTGGTTAAACTTTGTCATATATTCTATAAATTTTGTTGAATCTGGTTGAAAATTGTGCGTGTTATAAGCACGTAAAATATTTTGCAAAAGTTACACAGCGTTTCCTGGTTTTTATAATACAGGATTATTAAAAATATTTTCTTAATCATTTTGTTGTTGGTATTTTTGTTGGGAAGTTTGAATATGAGCGTATAATTTACATGGTTGCAGTTACAGAACAATGTGGCAAATATTTCTCTAGAAATTTGAAAAGTTGTCTGAAATCCAAAGTTTTTGGCTACGCAAAGTAGTATATCTAAGAGAGTGGAGTGGAAATTTAAGTCAGTACTGCTACTGATTGTTACATATTTGTCCTTACAGATGGGCCAAAAATGAAATTTAGCAATAAAACTGTCAGTTTTAAAATCTATGATATTGGCGAGTTTCTTTCAAAGATGACATTTTACCCAAAAGGTTTGTGAAAGCAGAAAGAAGAAAATAAGAAAATTAAATTTGCCTCTATTCGCTTTAGGACTATAATGGCATTATAAAACTTCTTACGGTGTAAAAATTTTGATTATATTATGCTCTGAATAATTTTTATATATAAAACCAATGTTGCTAGAAAATTATTAACATAATTTGTATTACTTACGTTAACATATTAATCCATATTTAAGTATAATAGTTATTTCATATTACTTAATTTATCAACCGACATCACAACTTTGCTAAATGAAGTTAGCGATATCTAAATTGATGATTTTGATAACTTTAGTGTTTTTGGCCAAGAAACATTAACTTTTGATTTTTATGCTACTGTGACCAATCATGCTGGAACTGATGATGAATCTTTTAAGCAGAAGAGCCCATTCGAACAGTGATTACCAAAATACAGCTGATATCAATCAAAATTGATTGATATTAAGTGAAAAGGGTTAAAAGGCTTCCTAAACAAAACTTAAAACTGCAAGGCAAAAGTTAACTCTAGGTATATCATATAAAAACTTACTTTTTAACTCAAATTATGTTAATATCAAACCACAATTAAAATCTGAGTTCATATGATTAAGACGAATGATAAATGCAATAACTGTTACAGTGTTTTTTTTTCTATGTCTCTGTAAATTTCACTAAATTAAATTCACTTTATGCTAATAAACTGAGTTCTGAAGCACTCATGTGATCTGTTTAAAATTTTACTTATTTTTCCCGGCAGTTGACATTTATTTATATATATATATATATATATATATATTATTTTTTTTTTTTTCAGGGACTTGAAATTTCTCTTCATTTTTTGTTTATTTTTTCTTTTAGTGGTTCAACTGGAAAACCGAAAGGCATCTTACATACTACTGCTGGATATATGATATACGCTTATACTACATTCAAGTATGTATTCGATTATCATGAAAAAGACATATATTTTTGTACTGCTGATATAGGATGGATAACTGGTCATACCTACGTTACCTACGGCCCATTACTCAACGCTGCAACTTCAGTGATCGTAAGTTCTAACTCTTTATTAGTGCACTTTTGTTAGAAATGAAGTTGCGCAGATCCCAAATTACTCCAACAATTATATTTTATCCTCGTCTTAACCAGCAGTGATTTCAAAATGTTTAAGTCTTTTGGAAGAGCAAGAACCGCGAAATTGTTGAAACAAAACTGTTGATGGCCTGATTGATACTTAGTGTAACTCTTACTATGATCATTTTATGTGTTATATCACACATTTTTTCCAATAATCTTTGTTTATTTCTGAAGCATCTTTCATTTCTAAAAAAATTATCTCGTTGTAAATAATTAATGTGTTTGATAAGGGAAAAAAAGTGTTGAATATGTATTTATTTCTGAAATTTATACAAATGAAATACTGGACATGTTTGAGACTAGTTAAGCAATAGGGAAATCGTATTTCAGTCCAGGTACAAGTCCAATAAATTCCTGATTTGATTTGATTTATTTCTACGAGTTAACTAAATTTTATACTAAAGGGTTGTACTCAAGGGAAAAGTAACCTGAAATCAGGGAGAAAAGTATAAGCTGAGTGTTCCATGCAATGCATTTTCCACAGATAGTTTGGTGAAATCACATTAAATGCTATAATTTAAAAATAAATTAACATAGGTAGAAATAAATAAATGCCTTTCTAAATGAATGTCTAATGAAAATTTTAATTTTTTCCTTTCAATATAATGTCTTTCTTTGCTTGCATTTTGGTTTCAATCCATTCTCCACTTCCACCTCTCTCAATGATACGTGTTAAATGATTCACCTGGTATTAACTCGATTCAGATACTTTTCACCAATACTTTTGAATTTTGAAGGCAAAGGAAATAATGAAAATTGTAAAATAAATTTCCTATATAACATTAATCTGATGAAATAATGTGTCAGGTCTGAGCACAAATCATAGTTTATTAATCTATAATATTATTATGACCTTGATAATAAAACAATTTAATCATGAAAATGTTTCATTCGTATGTTAGAATACAATCTATTCAGCAAAGCCTTTAAAATTCAGAAATTAAATTGATTTTGTCACTCAGTTCTAAAAATATGGGAAAATTGTATAAGTTTTTTTTATTGTTGTTGTTTTGTTGGTGTTCCATATATGTTCAGAAACTCTTCTAGAGGTAGACGGTAGATTATTTCTTGAAATTTTATTTTCGAATAAACGCTTAAAAACTGCACAACTAGAGTTTCTAGATTAACTGATATTTAATTATTAATTGCTTTGCAAAAGTTAATAAAGCTTATATACAGAGAGCGGAAGGAAGAAAAGAACATGTAAAGTCACTAGGTTATTTCGAAGCAGGAGATGTGAAAAATGTGCAATGTCCTCACCGGGACTCGAACCTGGACCTCTCGAGCACGTTTCGAGTGTGCTACCATTACACCATTAAGGCTACTGTTGTTGAACCGTAGAAGGAGGGAGAAAATACCTTATAAACGAAAAAAGTAATTAAAATATGAATCGTTATAAAATTTTTATATAACGCCAGAAGGTATCAGGAGCGCTATTTTTGCGCTATACTTGTATTCGTCGGTGCCATACCAAAAGTACGAATTTGCACTTTCTGCCATTTTCCCTTGTAAATGCATATTCTATGTTATTTTCTTCTAAGTTTCATCATTTTCATAGGGAAAGAAATGCGTATTATGTTACATATATTAGATTTATCCGATAAAACATATAGCTCGATTTTTTTTCAAAATAGATACATGCTAAACTTTTAAAAGCATTTTTCTGCGAACAGTGATTTTGAAGATTAGCATTTTTGTGTAATTTGAAAGATAAATTATTTAAATAGATTTATGGAGAAATTTTCTGTAGTCTCATTGAAAGACGTCGCATTTAAAAATATCATAAGCTGGGTGGTTATAAGCTCATTTACAGTCTGCCAATGTTGCATACATTGAAATCACTTATTTACGTTGTTAAATATGTATTTACCTCTGGGTGATAATGCCGTCTGAAGGTTTATTTAAAATAAAATTACAGGTGATAGCTTTTCGATCTCAGTAATTTAATGTTATCTTCTTTATTTGTACTGTTAGCCGGGTTCCCGCTGAGCGAAACCTAGTTAAACAGACCGTTCATTGGAGAGCAAACTACCTTTTAATGGTTAAAATCTTAAGAAGTAGAACATTTTTATTTAATACATCTATTTCATGCGCTATCTATTATTTGCGCCTTTTGCAGCTGAGGATGGTGGTTCGGTAAAACCATCGAAACTAGTCCTGTGAAAATTTGAAAATATAACGCTGATTTTTGTTGTTTGACTTCTGAATTGACTTCTGAATTTTAAAGTTACATGGCTTTTGCCTTCATGCAGGTTAATGCTAGTCATCTGCATAATAAACAAAAGTTTGCGATTTCTTACAGAAATGTATGTTTCTTATACTGAATCCGGTAGTGCAAATTTTAGATGAAGAGTGGATTGCTGCAGAGATGTATACATCGAAAGAGCATTGAGGTTTAAAAAAATGTGGCAGGAGGTTAACATGCAAATTCAAAGGACGTGATAAAATAAAGTTCTTGTTTATACGTTTATTTGATGCTGAAGGTTTGCAGAAATAACCTTACTAGCGATTAAGTTTATTTTTTTATTAAGGTTAGCTACTGTAACAGCTAAACTTATAGTGCTTGGCGTATCTGACCGTAGTGCAGATAGAAGGTTATATCCTGTTTGAAAGAAAGCTTTATTTCAGGCTAGGGAAATTCCAGAGCTTAATAGCAGAGGCAGTTGACAGTTGAGAGCAGAATCTGGACACCCGTGCGGCAAAGAGTAGCTATATTAAAAACCACCCATTGAGGTTCCTTGGCTATATCTAAATAGACAAAACCCGAATCGGTAAATCTTCCAGCGGGTTGATCGCTGGATGCCTGGGATAGGCATTATCGAACCATATTTCTAAGTATAAAGAATGATGCTAGACATTCTGAAAGTACCTTGGAATTACGTACATTTGTACAGTAGGGCTCTTCTTCGAGAATTTGTATTATCGAAAGTGATAGAACAAATCTTTTTATTTTTTCCCTCTTCAGATTGCGTCTCACAGTCAAGAAATAGAAAACATTTTATGGACTTTTTCGTAAAGAATCGTGAGGTCTGTTTATCACATTCTGGGTTCTGACTCTTGTATTATAGTTGTTATATATAAACAAACTTATATTAAGATTTTAATATTATTAACAGCTAAAAAAAGTAAGATTATTTCAAAATAAATTTGTCAGCTTTATCTCTAAGGTTAAACTTAATTGATTCTTAAAACTTTACCTTATTTAACCTTCCTGTACTTCCGACGACTTCTCATCTTCGCACTTAATTCGAAGTATAGGAATCTTGAAGCACGGACAAAAGGTAAAACTTAACTAAAAGTTAAGTCTTGTATGTACTATCCATCGCTGTTTGCGTAATCTTAGAAGTACAAATGCTTAAATATGTGCAGCCCAGCATGCAGCTTCAAAGTCGATTCAACTACTCAAGATTTCAGGCGCACACTCTAAGCAAATATAATTAATTGACCAGCGATAACTTTCCAAGTGAATTGTTTTCTGATAACTTTCGAAGTAAACTCTTTCAGATGATACTGATTTCTTTGTGTTCCGCGAGCCTAACAAATCACAAATGCAATAATTTCATCCTTGTACCAACCACTCATCTATATAATAACTGGGCTTTGACAACTCAAGTTTTTACCAAAGTTACATTTTTCTATGACCAGTGGTGTATGCTATATATTAATGTAATGAATTATTTATAATGCCAAATTGTGAAAATTTTCCTTTTTCCTCTAGTTCGAAGGTGTGCCCTTCTACCCAGATGCAAGCCGATTTTGGAAAGTGATTGATAAATATCGAGTAAGCATTTTCTACACTGCTCCAACTGCCATACGAGCTCTGATGCGATTTAGTGATGATTATGTGAAAAAGTAAGTGCATCTCTTTGTAACTAACTAATCCGGAAAACAACCAAAGAGCTTCCATATTGAAGAGAAGGAATTATTAGCACAATTAGTATATAATTTTTCATTAACTGTGTATTGTGTATTGAATTAAAAACGTAATCATGTTATCACACACTTCAAACTGTAATTCACGCAATTAAAATAAATCATAAACTACATCTTGTAATTTGTTGGCATGGCATCTCAGGCAAGTCAATACAGCAATAGACTAATCCATCAATAATTCCAATACGAGCATACTTTTGCATCCGACTGATTTTTAACTCCTTTTACTCTATTTTTTAATTCTATCTTATATGATTACTTTTTAATATTATTGCACGAAATTTAACAAGATTATTTATAGCTCCAGAAAATTTACTATAACATATAGTACTAAATCTATTTAATATTTAAGAAACTCCTGTTAAATTTTGCATAATAAATCATAATGTAAACTAATAAATCATGATGTAAACTAATAAATCATAATGTAACATTACGTTTAATTTTACAGAGATGTGTGAAACATTGCTTCACATAACATTATTAGTGATTGCACTATGGCTCCAGAGCGGAGTTAAAACTGTTTAGCGTAATGAATCATCACTATTTGGAAGCGGCGTTAGAAGAAAGCTCTACGGCTTCTTTTGCACAATTCGTTTAATTCGTGGTGAGAAAAACGTAGTACTGGCACTGAGTGTTGCAGATTTTTAGACATGTATAACAGAAAGAATCCTCTATAACCAATTCAAAGTGACTCATTCGTTGATGAAATTCCATCATGCTTGGACCTATAAACAAGAATGACGGCAGAAAATAATTCACACTATCACAGGAAGGCTTAAATCGTTAGTTTGGAATTCAGAAATAGTAGATAATCGACAACGGATCATGGAAGCATTAAATCTGTGTTAAAGTTCTACCCATTTTTTTAGTCGGGAAACGAAGACAGAGAGCTCAAAAAGTAAAATATGTAATATTTCAAATCTATGTATTGGCGTATTAATCGTCTTTAGCCAATCTAACCTGTAACAGGTTTATCCCACGCTGAAAAATCTCTATTTTCGAGTCAAAGAAAAGTGGTAATGTTTGTTCTACACTCTCTACATCGTCGAAGGTATAAAGAAAGAAAATATTCACTAAATGATCGAATGAGGCCTTTAGGGCTAAGGACACTTGTATATACTGATTAGGTTAACAAAAGTTCGAATAAATTCATAAGGAATATACTTATTCGTTACTCTCACCGTACCATTTGCTGACTACCTGGACCCTTCATATGAAATTTGGCTTGTCCTAGAAAATTATTATGTACCATTATCTAATAATTTATTTCACATGTCCTTTACCCAATAGGAACTCATTTTTGTACTGATCACAAACTTCTTCTTTGAGTGGCAGCCAATGATCCCTTGAAATTAAACGCCTGTGCACAGTACTATTGCTCACACCCACTCCACACTCTGCATTTCATATACTGGGTGCGCAGAAAACTTCCATCTCTTTTATAAATGCAAACTTTAATCGGATGACTTATGTCGAAGATGGCATTGAATAACTGGAATTTTTTACCAATAAATTTATAAAGAATTATTTCATTCCCCCTGTGCGTGTAGTTATGGAGTAACTGGTAACACATTTTGCTAGCACTAGAAGACCCATGGCTCGAATCCAGGCGAAGGCATAGTTGACTTTGCGTGTTTCCTGCTTCGAAAAAAAGAATGCCTATGCCTGTAAAGTGGCTCAGAACTTAAAAAAAGTGTTATTGTCATAATTCGTCTGGTCGATTCGTTGAATGTATGGATTTCATAAATGAGTCGATTTTTCCACAGGGCTTGTGCCTCTCCTTAGTCACACATTTAGTGGAGGAAAATATAAAGAACTATTTCATTTTCCCCATGTATACTCTCGTGGCGTAAGTGGTGGAACATCCAGCTACCAGTGGAAGATTTGAAGTTGAAATCCCGGCGACGATATAAATCACGTTTCTCGAGGAGAAAGAAACCCTAATGCCTCTGCAAATTTATCAGTCGAATTTCAACGCTCATCTATTCTCAGATATCCTGTAGCGTAAGTCATCGCTCAGTATTAAAAAGCAGTTCGAAAATTTAACCTACTTCACATACCAAAACGATTCAGCTGCGTGCCACAGAGCCAAATCGGTAAATAAAATAATCTCTGCATATCCGTGATGAGGCACAATTACTTATGTGCTTTGATTTTTAATGTATAGGTTATAGGTATATCGATCCATGAGACGTGAAAAATGTGCAATATTCTCGCCAGGAGATTCGAATCCAGATGGAGGTGTTATCCAGTTACACCATAAAGGCACGTGGAAAGAAGGAGAAATACCCAATTAACCTCCCCCACTTTTAAAGTGTGACTGGAGATAAATGGATACAATCGCAAAATCCTGGGGGTGACAAATTATTATCCACCATCTTTTAGTTTGGGGTCACTTGTAGGGTTGCTTTCGATCTGGAAACTGAAGTTAAATCCTGCTGATCCTACTAGACAAGTTAGAGAGCTATCGCTACGTTTTAAAAACTCACAAACATAGAAGACGGTCTTAAAATAACTTTTTCATCTGGACTGAAATTTGATATAAAAAGCACGACTTCTGCGACAGACGTATCACCAATTATGTCGATGTAAATTAAGCAACAACAGTTATTTAAAGTCAAATGGATAACTTAGTTTAATACTAGGCATTCAACAGAATAAGCTATAAGCTGGCTCGAAATTTACCGGCGTGTAAGTCTGAAACATCAGCTAGCGAGAAAGTGCGAAAGCCTAAATAATCACTTTTAGATAGAGCTGTCGGGAATTCAATAGCGCGACGCGAATGCTAGAAGTTCTCTCTCTCTCTGAAATTAAATACCCTCAGCTTATATACTCTCAAACCTAATTTGCAGTTTAGTGAGGAATACGGAAAGAAGAAGTCATAGTTCAGATCGAAATCATAACTGTATTATGTAATTTATGTAAGATTCTTATACTGACATCCAACAATCATTTCCTAGGTAGGCCCACCAGCGGCTGAGCAACACACTCGCTAAACACTGGTAGTTTAGTCCGAGGTTCGAATCTTGGCGTACGGGCTGGTTGCATGGGCGTTTTCTGGTTTTCCTTATGTGTAACGTGTATATGAGCCAGTTTCCCTTATAAAGTCCTCCATGAAGGCATCCCTCCCCATAGACAGATAGCTCTTGTGTGGTTTGCTGTAATAATATAAACCAAACCAAAACAAACGAATTGCTACGTACAGGACAATAACATCTGACATGGCCAAGTTAACAGTTAAGGTTTAAATTTTATAAATAATATTTGGAACATAATGGATCAAATGCGATAAGAAACTTTGCATATTGATGCGGTTACGGAAAGCACTTTCCCAGACTTGGTTCTAGGAAAATGCAAAATCTCATCACTTTTACGCTCTCTTTATTGTCAATACTTCTTTTCTTACAACAGATGCACGAGTGATTGTGTCTCTCTTTTTTATGATTGTTTTGCTAACCGCAGTTTTAATTAATTAAGATAATAAATATGTATACTAATTTAATTATCAAAACTCTCGTATGCTTATTTTTCCCGATTGTTTACTACAGTTTACAGGAATTGTATACAGCTTACTGTTTGCTTCCTGTAACAAATACCGAAAGCAGCCCATATCAGTATTTTAATGCACACTATTTTGTATCGTTTGTTATGTAGTGTATCCAAAACTCATGGGTTTTAATACATGTCCTATTTACGAAAGGCTAGAATTTTGAACGCTTATTTTTTAGCTCGGATAGAGGAAGCTTACGTTTGCTGGGAAGTGTTGGAGAACCAATCAACCCAGAAGCGTGGTTATGGTACCATAGAGTAGTAGGAGATGGAAGATGCCCCATTGTTGATACCTTCTGGCAGACAGAAACGGTACAGAATATACATTTTATATTAATATTATAGTTCACATTTTTTATTCTTTACCTAAAAATTATGAATTGTAAGTTTTATTCATGAGTTAAAATACTACCTCTTTCAGGGTGGGATTGTCATAACACCTCTTCCTGGATGTATACCACTGAAACCAGGATCTGCGGTAATATATTTATCTTTTCATAAGTACACCCTTCATATGTAAGCTAATAAGTCACCAGCTTGCTTTAACACCCCAAGTTTTCTATTAACGAAAAGTGTCTATAGTATCCTGAACGACAAAATAATACTATTTTCCATAACATAGTTAAATTCGCTTTAATCGAAGTATCCTTAAAGGGAAATACTTAACACTATAAAGGGGTGCTAGCTCTGAGTATAAATAATTGCAGAGGCGAACCTTCTAACAACGCACCCTTTAATGATTAGACTGATGTACATCAGAAGTTGATGTAAGGTCACCATAAAATTCAGCGCAGGAGGTATAATGTCACGAGAAGTAATCAAAGCGTTGCTTATAAATCTGAGGACGACTGATAGAATTGGATTAACTATTAAGCAAAATAAGCACGTGCTGACAGCATCAAGAAAAGAGGGCACCACCAAAAAAAAAAAAAAAAAAAAAAAATCTCATTGCTGGTTTTACCATTGAATATAACTAATCCAAGACCGAGAGAGACGGAAAGGGGGGAAAAAGAGATGTTACACTGTTGAAAAGTATGCACCAAATCTTTTACATGCTCAGCACCTCTAGTAGTCTTCATCCGGACTACAGTGACGCAGCATTTCTTATGAAACTAATTGATCGATTTATTATATTTCAATAATATTTCTGTTTCATCTGCAGCGGAAAACACATCGCGAAGCAGTTTAAGCATACTTGGTCAAACTACTATTGATAAAATTGGTCAATAACATTTTTGCGGAAAAATAAGTTTATTTTTCATGTATTACACAGATTTCAAATATGCATTAAATTTCTGCTTTCACGCATTACGTAGTTTAGTAAATTAGAAGTATAAGAAGACCGTCTGGAAAAGTAAATAATTAAAATTAAATAGAATATAAAGCTATAAAAATTAATAAATCAAATAAACTTGCGGTAAATAGGGAAATAATAAATAAAAATACCGAAGCATCGCCTTATCTGGGGTTCCAGTCTGAAGTATGATTTCACTCAAAAACCGAACACTGACGGCTCTATGCTCCAGCTTTGGTTGAATTTAAGCTCTCTTTCAACCAGAGTTTTTAAGTGGCATTACTTATTAGTACGCAGATACTTCTTAAATGTGTAACAGTACATTGCAATTTAAATTGCATGGGCAAGTAAGCTAAAGTTTAAATAGTAGATTTTTTTTTTCTATTCGCAAGCGTTTTTGAACAAGAATCGTTTAGTTTTTCGAGCTATGAGTTCAATAATTCCTCCCCATTTACCGTGTCTGTTTCTTCAAAACTTTTCTCATGAGAGCAGCTGCAATTTCACTATCGACTGCGGCTAACTGCCGGCTGTATCCAAAAAATCCACTTGAGAAATGAGACGAAATCTTTTTAAATCTCATATCCTTTCTGATGTTAGTCTTTCCCACGATTCTTCAGTTTGTGCAACTTAATTATTTTATACTGAATTTCGACTAATGAAATTCGGCTGCCATTTATGACTGTCACTTCTTGGACCACTGAAACCGGTTTGTCCTACAAAAACAAATTGTAATTAATTCACCGTGTTAACTTGATAAACGAACCAAGAGGAGTGTCACAGCATTTAACTTCCAGTAATGAATTTTTTAATTTTAATTTTAACAGATAACTTTGCTGATTGTAAAAATATGCATGTTCAAAATCGAAATATCGAATGCTTGTTAATTTTTAAGGAGTTATTTACATTTCCCCATTCATGTTATCGGCTATAAGTGGTTAGCATGTCCAGCTATCCATTGGGAGAACCATAGTTTAAATTTCGATGAGAGTACAGTCCCCCCCCGTTTCTTGCATTCAAAAAATATTTCGGCATTCATGTTTTTTGCATTCTGATAGTATCAACAAAATTAAGATAATGATATATAAATTAACAGAGCTACATCCGTTTTAAGAACAACTTTGCAAGAGTCAGGTTTTAAGAGTAAACACCTGAGTCATCATTTTGTCTAATTATTATGTTTGACTTAAATTGACGAGGCAAAACATTAGGGCCATTCCCACATTTTTCAATGAACTCGTCTGGATGACTTGGAGGGCTCGTGATTAAATGGGAACTGTTGCTTAGAGAAGGTACAGAATTATCCTTGCACTTACTTTTGCGAGTGATGAGAAAGGCTGCTGATCTAAGCGAATTTGATAGAAGGCAGATTGCAATGACCTGAATACTCGGAACTAGTATCTCCGAAACTGCATAGCTGGGAGATTGTTCACGATCTGTCTTTGTTAGTATTTATGCAAAACGTATAAATGATCGTGAAAACAGCAGTAGACGCCCAGGTAATTGACGTTCACGCGTCATCAAAGAAAAAGGATGCCGGAGACTCTCCTGCTCGGTACAGCAAAAATCGGCGCCAATAGTGTCTCAGCTAGCAGCGCAGTGCAATGCAGGTCCAAGTGCAAGTGTTTCGGAACACACAAATTCAGTGTACATTGTTGTATATGGGACTACGTAGTAGACGTCCCACTCGGTTGCCTCTGTTGACCAAGCGTCATTGTCAACTACACCTACAGTGGGTGCTGGAACATCGAGACTGGAACATGACTAAGTGGGAGACAGCTGCCTGGTCGGATGAATCACGATTATGGTCGTGTCAGGGTACGCCGTCTTCCAGGCGAAATTTGCTTCCCCCCTCCTCCCGCTGTACCGCAGGTCATACCCAGGCTGAAGGTGGCGGTATTATGCTTCGGGTGACTTTCTCAAGGGCGGCTCTGAAACCCTTAGTTGTAGTAGAACAGACCATGAAAGTTGCGAACTATCTTAATATAATTGTAAATCAGTTGTATCCTTACATGGCGTCTGTCTTCCCAACTAGAAATGGAATCTTCCAGCAGGAAAATGCCCCATGTTAAAAGGCTCGAATTGCGTTGGAGGGATTCGAGGAGCATAAGGATGTCCTGACCACCTAACTCACCGAATCCTAACCTGCTAGAGCACGTTTGGGATATCATGGAGGGGCAGCTCAGAGCTCAAACACCACCATGAAGGAATATCTCGACTTTGCGTGACCGCTGCTTAGACATCTGATACAACCTGTCTCCAGTCATCTATCAACTTGTGTATCCATGCCAAGGCGAGTTGCAGCTGTTTTGCAGGCCAAAGGTTACGCAACACGTTATTGAGTAGGTGGTCATAATGTTTTGGCTCTTCCGTGTGTGTGCAAAATATACGGATAAGCATTCCTTTTCAAACTCAGGTCTGTCACCAATAACGAAAGTTTTTAGGGATCGAAGTTCAAAGAAACATATGTAATGCATCCACGAACTCGCTCAAAACCCATAAATGTAGTACATTATTGCAGAAATTCGTTTAAGCCTAACGAGGCGAATGTAGTTACGCATTTTAACGAAGCGTCTTTCGATGAACTGACGTGTTGAAAAATTCGGAGATTAATTCAGACAGCGTGACGTCAAAGTCTTAGTTTGTGAAGCTCAAGTAATGATTTAAAATAATTCAATCGGCTAGCAAACCAAATAAAAGTTAACATCAAGTGACGAAACATCTTTGCAAGATAAATATAGCTCAAAATGATTTCAAAAACGGGAAGGGGGACAAGTTGATATGAGTTACATGGTCTTTTGTGTGCATCTCAAAAGGATTTTCTTAATATTTAGGTATATTTTTACAAAAAATACTAAACAAATATAATATTTTATATGGTAACATTATTTACAAATGAATGATGCACAAATGAAATGTGCACAAATGAATTTATTTAAAGAAATGAAGAACTATATCATTGATTTTTATTCAGAGTTGTAGCTAGGGTTTTCAGCGCCCAGGGACAACTGAAGATTTCGCGCCCCCTACTGCTTGCCAAGGATGGAAAACATTTAATTCTAAAATGTCGTAACATCAGTTTGGCGCCCCTTGGATTCTGCGCTCGGGGACAGATGCCCCCCTTGCCCCCCTCTAGCTACGCCCCTGTTTTTATTAAAGAATATCCTACCACTTTTTCACTCGAAATAAATAACAGAGTAGCAAGCAATTCACTTGAATTTCTGAACTTACTTTTAAATAACAATGCGAATGTAAAGCTCCTCTGTACAGAAGAACAGTTTTTAGAAATGCCTATATATGAGACCATGTTCTAAAATATTTTTCGATTTTTTCTAAACAATGCACACGATATTATGGATTAAAATTTAATTCTTACGTTATTAATAATTATGATATTCGGTTTTTCATGTAACAAATATGTTAACTAAGCAGAAAGTTATACTTGGAAAATATGCAAATTTTCTAAAATTAGTTCTTCAGATTTTTTTCAGTTTGAAATCATCTTATTAAGTAAGAAATGCTGGTATTCATGCTAGGCTTTAAATGAAAATTTTTATATAATAAAATTCTTACATTTTATGGGATAACAGAATACTTTGCGTATTACAGGTATCGATAATTATATCCAATTCTAAATATTTGCTAAGAAAATGAACGATAGAAAAGTTAGGGAGCGATCACAGTTGTCATTGTCATAAGTCGTGTTGTGTTGTTGTTACTTATCTCACTTGTTTGACAGCAGCATCAGAACAAGCCCATGAAATTCTTCGTTGCATAGAGAACAAGATTACGCCTTTCGTTGGCAAGAGCCTTGAGCACCATACAAGTGACATTATGAATTCGCTCAGTTCAGTCCCCAATTTTGATGGAGAGCATTCCCGGGGAACGGATCCGAAGGTCTCCCACCCCTCTTCCCTTACACCAGCCTCTCGAGAGGATTTTCGGCTCGACATATATTTAGAGTGCCTCCATGCCGCAAAGACACTGCACATTTACAAGCACCCATGCTTTCACCGGGATTCGAACCCGGGTCCTTAAGTACCGCAGTAGGCTCCCCTAACCACTATACCGTCTAGATGGCTCATAAGTTGTAAATGTTATAATTGCGTGTTCGTACTAAAACGCTGAGGAGATATAGATCTAAGTTACAGCCACTGATAGAAAGCTAGTAGCTTTGTGCGCATTTGATATCTCTCAAACTTTGACGAATTCTAAGTTCCTTCGAGCATATTTCATCGGCCAGTTTTAAATTCGCACTTTTTATTTTTTTCTACCACTTGGAATAAAAAAACTGCACTGTCGTGAGAGATACATTAGACTGTTCCAAATTTTTAGCACAGTAAAATTAAAACGTCAAAAGTTTCTTTGTCAAATGCACATCGTTTCACATTCTTAGTTCGGCGTGCTTTACTTGGTTACGGCACGGGGGCTATCTGCTTAAGAGGGATGCCTTCATGGAGGACTTTCTAAGGAAATTTGGTTCGCATCCAATTTATATCTTGGGAAAACCTCAAAAATATCCACGTATCCAGCTGATTTCCCTGGAATCGAACCCAGGTCGAACTACCAGCGTTCCGAGACTTTACTGCTCAGCCACTGCTCGGTATTTCCTATGCCTAACATTAGTTACAAACAGAAATTGGTCACTTATTTCGCTCTGATTGGTTGTTTTGTTCCATCCTATGCGAGTCTTGGCATGAAGTTGAGTGCTTGGGACTTTAAAACTAAATCCTGATACTAGTTTCGTTGGCTATAGAAAACCTTGTTGCCAACCGTCGATGTTCTGCTTATGCCGCTTTTGACCGTTAAGCTATTCTGTGGATGCTTCCTTAGACTATACCCTAATGCTGAATGTTGGTGCTCCATGACATTCATGAATTCTCTGCTGTGCAAATGCAGCAAGGCAAGGACACTTACCTGAAGAGCAAAAAGATTCGTAGGATTAAAAATGGCACGAATGCACTTCGCTCCAGGCGGCTTCTCTTCATCTTCGTACACCCTCATGAAAGCGGATATAATCAGAAGAAAATTCTAAAGTGCAGAGTACTTTTAAAAGTAGTCTATGTACACGACATTCCAAAATTAATCAAAGAAATTTTAAAGGGTAACAGAACACATCGGAAACAAAGGCTTTTTATGATAAAATGCATGGTCGCAAATCAAGAGTTTGGGCGCTGAATGGCGATTTTTCCCCACAATGCCGTTTTGCTGTTTTTCGCTATGCAAAGACACCAAACACTTTCAGGAGCTTGTACAAAATCTGTAGTACAGTATATTAATTTTGTATTTTTTTCATGTACTTTTTTTTGCATGTGTTCCTCAGTTGTGTCATGTTTTTGTTTCTCTGTTGGTGATATTTATATTCAATGTATTTAATTCAAAGAGACTCTGAAGTTCTTTCAAAGTAATAGTTTTTAGATATGGCGCAAAGATATAACCTTTTTTACCCCTCTACTCTCTCCTTCTTTCAATTCCATTCATCGCTCATTTTTCAGTTTTATTATTTCGTGTAACGTTATTTTTGGTAACGTTATTTAGATTAAATCGGACACGTTGCTCTCTGCGCAGTGTTCACAACTCCGTCGGCGAATTCATGGTTCAAGCAACATCATTAACGACATGACATAGATTAGTATACGAATAAAGAAAAGGCAAACATACACTAAGTCAAGACTCTAAATAGAACTAAATAACTTAACGCTATGTCTATTTAAGCAAAGAGAATGTAAGAAGGTGTAAAAGTCGCTTTTATGCTTTTATTAAGAACTCAAATCAGCTGCAAAGAAGACACTTCTGGTGCTTACAAAACCAGGAATCAGTTTATGGCGTAAACCCAAAAAGTAGAATTTTAAATTAAAACTAATTTTTAATTAACCAAAGGTTACACAGAAATATTAAATGCGTAATTTGGCTCTAACCTACACCGGCGTGACAACACTATTTGCAAGATTAAAGCAACGCCGTAGACAGGAATGCTATCGTTGAATATCCACTAGTAACATGGCCTTCAATAGGCGGAATACGCTCTGATTAAAGCAATCTGAAACCCTCACTTAAATACGTGCTAAGGAAAATTTGCACTCTGGCAGTAAAATGAAAAGAGAAATAACAGTAAAGTTTCGGAGCATAAATGGTTTATTAAAATAAATTATAATCATTTCAAGTTTATTCTTTGACTTTTGAAGCAGCCTGTGTTTATTGTTGCATATATTGGGACTGATATTCATTATTTTATGCTTTTCCCCTTTTTTCCTATTTTCTTAGTTATATCTTGTTCAGACAGTGCTACTTTTATTGAGCTTGAAGTTAAAACTGTTTTTAAAATTGAGTTTTTCTCTTATTTCAGTGCTTTCCATTCTTCGGAGTTGTAGCGAAATTACTCACAGAAGAAGGCAAAGAAATAACTGGAGAAGGGGAAGGATACCTGGTATGTAACATGATTTTTGTACATCATTACGTTTCATCTTGGCATATGAAAGATAACTTCAGTGGAGTTGTAAAAGGGGAATTGTTTTGTCACATCGTTGATATTGCCAGGTTTTTGATGTGATCAGCAGAACAGGTTTAAATATTTAGGAATATTAACTTTTTTATCGAAAATTTCAGAAAAACATGCCTTGATTCTAGATCGAATTCTACATATTCCTTGTACCCCACATACTAAAACTCCAGCTTTCTGTATTGTGAAGACGGGCTATATCATACTGTGAATCCATTTCTCGGAGCTAGGTTTGGTTTGATTTGGTTTAGTTGATTATGTAAAAGCACTCAAGGGCCATCTGTGATGCCTTTGTGGAAAGGGAAACTGGCTCGTATCTATGTTACACATTAAGAAAACCAAGAAAATGCTTATGCAACCAGCTCGTTCGTATGGAATCGAGCCCAAGTAAAACTACTAGTGTTCAGAGATTTTACCGCTCGACCGCTGGTGGAACCTATTTGAAGAAGCTAGGAAGTGAAATATCTTGAAGATTAAAATTTTAAAAAAAAATTGGACTTTATTTTATGCAAACTTCTAGGCACAATTCGAAAAGGAAAATGGTTCGGGAAACACTCTGTATTTCTATTTGGAACGTAGTTGTATTCTTCTGGAAGCAAATGCAAAAACTTAATTTCAGTTGCTTTCCTTAAGTTAATGATTTACTCTTTTTCTGAAATTTCCTATTAAGTTCTGTTTTCATTTTTGCATGCTTTATTATTGAAGAGAGTAATTTTACCAATGCATTTCTAGTGTATCAAAATTATTTTCTAGAACTGATGATTCTTAATAAATGTTTTGTTGCTTATATAAGTCGACTTTGAACACTAAAGTGTCGAAGTTGCAATAACTACCTCTTTATTTTTCCTAGTACTGAATTATATGAATTGTGAAATGTCCATCTCTGAGCCTGATATTCACAAATATTCTCTGATTTAAGTGGCAATCTGAAATATTTAATAACATGACGAATCCTTCCAACTTTCTTTTGCATTTGGCATTAACTTTTAAGATTTCACATTAATTAACCAGTTATCTTAATAATTTGCTTTGAATTCCACTTTTACTTTCATCAGTTCCACCAGGAAGCAAATTATTACTTATTATTATTGGCTATTTACGCGTAGAGTTCTTGAATTCGGGAGACAGACTTTGGTAGGTATCGTTAGCCGGTTAATCTCAGACAACCTCCTGTAACTCGTATGAATGGTTTAAATCGGCTTTAGCTTCTCTTGCTCGAATAATTTTCTCGTGAAAATATTCAGGCTTGAGCCAAAGCTTACTCAGACGAGTATTACTTTGTTTTTAATATTTTATTTTGGCCGTATCTTTTGTTCTACACTTTTTTTGCAAGTAGCAGATATTTCATGTACTCTTATTGTTATTAGTTTTGTGTAGCCATCAAGCTGATGTGTAAAAAAATGGCTTATTTTAAACCTTCATCTGAGTTGGCGATCCTGTATTTAAATGGAATGACGGGACAAAAATGTCATTTTCTGAACGTTTGTAGGAATTGATAGCTAAAATAGTGTGGAAACATACAAACTTCCATACAAACTCCAGTTTCCTTCTAGATTATAACAAGCTTATTAAGAGCTTTCCAAAAGCTTTTGAAACAAATTCCCTTTTACAGCTTTGTAGTGCATTTTCAAAAACCCAAGTAACATGACCAAGTTTTACTTTCGTTTCGAATGCCAGCGTAACAGGATTTGAACCCGTGATTTCCTGTACTGCTGACAGGCTACTTTCATCAGCACAGTTATTAGAAGCCAATAATGAGCTTGAATATTTCCTACTTAAAAATGAAATTCTGAACTGCTGTCTTTTTGCCCCTTTAAATATTGGTGGTTCAAATACGTAATATAACAAAATGCATCCTTCACAGCTTGAAAAGTTTAATATCAATGAAAAGTTTATCTGCCTTTCAGTGACAATTTATACGCAAGTACCTAATATTATGCTGGTGCGACTGAAATGTCCGATTGCATGTACGGTGAAAACACAGCTGTCGGACGTCAAACAACGGGCTACTGTAGTCTTTTGTGTTATCTCGCAGCATCACTACAAGTATACAAGGCAGGATGAGCTACCAAGCTATTCGGTAGGTATTATGTTGTTAAACATAAACATAAGGCCTCGTCCATGCAGAAGTGAACCATACGGAATACTCAACTGTGAATATAATATATTCCTTCTGTCAATTTAAACTAGGTTCTTATACTTGACTTGCAGCACAAAGCGTTAACATTGCTTTGACACAGATAGAGCTAATGTGAATAAATAATACATGAAATTTCATGTTGGTGATAAAACAGTCTCAAATAGGCATTTTTTCCGTTTCGACATTTTTCGAAAATTTTCCAGGAAATTTTCCAGGTTTTCGGTATTTCGGGAATAAATTTGGTAACATTAATTGGTTGCATAGTTGAAAGCATCTGCATAGTTGAAAATTAGACACTTCGTAACAAAGGAAAAAATAGAAAATTATGTAACCATATTTAGAGTTAAAATACACTTTTCAAAATATAATGCAAATACAAGTCGTTTTTCTTAAAGAGAAAACTTTCCCATAAAATCTCAAACTTGCATTCAAAACAATTCTTTCCTCACTTTATGGTATTTTCTCTCTTCTTTCGCATGCCTCCGATCTATAACGGCAGCACTCTCGGAGGGTATTCGAGAGGCCCAGGTTCGAGTCCCGGTGTGTATATTGCCCATTTTTCACGTCTCTTGCTTCAAAATAACCTAATGACTCTACAACTCTCTTTGTTGGTGTAATGATTACACGAGAACAAGCACCTAGGCTGTGTAAGTCTCATCTTGGGTGGAATATGTAGATGGTAAACATATCTTTCTGTAGCAGCTTAGTAAAGGTGCCGATGCGGAAGAAACAAATTTTCCTTTTGAAAAAGTTCGTAGTGATGTAGAATAGCGAAGGTAGTAGCCGATTATTGTAGTGTGAGTTGGATGTGATAGCAATTATTGTAAAAATATGGCATAAAAGTTGAAGAAAAGTTGACGATTGAAGAAGTGCAACTCTACAACTCCTTCAACTCCTCCTCTACAACTCTATCAACTCTCAAAGCGTTGATAGTTTGTAGCAAATATTAGCTCTAGGTATTATCACGAATCCAAGACTGCAGAAAACTCTTTTTTCGTATAAAAGGGGCATAGCTGGAATAAGTAATTTTTTGCATAATGTTGGTAGCTCTATACCCATCCTAGTCTCGAATAGCTAAAAGCTACTTTTTCTAAATTATAATTGCCGAACTATAGAAATGTTCAATGGGTTTGTTTTGAAGAAAATATTGTCTTAGACTAAACTGCACTTCTGTTCTGTTTCTCAAGAATATCAAACGCATAGGCTGAATAACGGCGTATTATCTCCAGTTACTATCTGCAATAATTCAGGTGATAGATTAAGATTTGTCTTCACTGAAAGATCGATACTTTCTTTGACAATTTGAGCAATATACTTTTTATTTAAATTTTGATAATATTGGGTACCCAGATATCAAGCCAAAATTGACATCACTTTCCCCTTTATTTAAATATTGAAGCAAATTAACCAAAATTTTATTCGTTCTCAACTCATATCTATGAGGCGTCTGGTCAGTAAGTTTCACAAATGGCCTTTTTATTGCCAAACTATAGAAAATTTTTCCTCGCCGTAATATAAAACAAATTGATTCAAGGCTAGTTAATTATTTGCGGAAAATCTTTAGCAAATAAAAATTTTCGGGATCCGAAAAGCAATAAAAACTTTCATTGTTTCCGGACAAAACGGGACAAAATGGAATCCCGGATTCTCAGGAAAAGAAATACTATTAATAATGCTGCCCACAAGTGACCAGGCAAAAGCCACTGTGCAGACCTTATGTAACTTGCAGTATAAAGCTGTTCCTCGCATAACATACTCTCAAAACTCATCTGCCACTGATTTTTCAACTCGTACGCAGTTTTGACTGCTTCTTAAAGATTTAAAACAAGAAATTAATTGATGGCAGAGAGGTCTAGAGTGCAGATAACTACTTCTTTGCATCAGAGACTTCTCATTTCTTTTGCAGACATTGGCAGACACAACGGCAAAAGTTTGTGTACGCAGAGGAAGACTATTTTCTCAGTTTGATAACTAAAGTATTTTTATTTCTCCTATTTATCATTTGATGGTAACATGCACTTGCTGAACATTTCGATAGAAACAACCCAATTTTTCCTCAAATGATGCTGAGTAGTGCTAATAACTGCTTTTTTATAATAGAGATCCCGTATACTTCCTTAATATTATACTTTCTTGTGTATTTTTTATCCCTAATATCACAATCCTGCATTCATTTACCATTGTTTACATTTATGTACTTCCAGTTTTCCTGATAATTTTAAAAAAGTATTTTGATTAGGAAGCTGAAACAATTTAGGAGAAGAATGTCATTTATTACTTGATTTCAAGCAATATAAACGATTATTTGCAGGTTTTTGAAAGACCTTGGCCTGGAATGATGCGCAGTGTTTATGGATCGCAAGAACGTTATGAAACTACATACTTCAAAAAGTTTCCAGGTTATTATTGCACCGGGGATGGTAAGGAGAAGTTTATTGTTATGACATAAGCTACTTTTAATTATAGAATTTCTTATTAATCTTGCTGTTACTATTGAATCTTTTATAAGCTTGTTGAAAAGCTGTATTAAAGTTTCAGATAAATGGCGATGAATATTTTCCTTGAGAAGTTTCAATGCTATTTAAATTTTGTTTTATATAATATTTTTCCAAATATTCTTTCCACCATACGACAGAAAATCAAGTATCACTAAACGCTTTCAGATTAGGCACATCTGAAATTAATTTTAAGGTTTGTAAAGTTAAAAGTTTAATTGTTCCTGAGAGGTTCAAGTTTTTTAACAATGCGCAAGTGACCCAATTGCGCTATAAATTCTTCCTCATACATCCTGTCTCTATTTTCATTGCACTAGCTCTCGGAATACAAAGAGGAAAGCAGTAAATGTAGATTACTACAGTAGAGTGTAACCTGTAAAAAGATTTCTTCTTCGCTCACCTGGAATAATCTTGCGACCATGAGGAAACCTGAAATGAGGGATGAGTATACAGAGACGACGAAGTAATTAAAACTGAACAGCATGAAATCTATTAAGAAAACATAGGTTCAGAACAATTTTATTTTAAAGTTATACAGTGGCGCTTGGAATTTGCAGCCATATATTCTGTTGTAAGATTAACCAAATGTTTATATGTTTTATAGCTTCTCAACTGGCTTTTGATAACAGAAATTCACATTATTAAATACTTCCTTTATGTATGTTTACGTATATCTGTATGTGTGTATGTGAATTTTTATTCTTTGATTCTGTTCATTAATGAAATTACTAAATGTAATTATAAGACAGTAAGCTTCTGACAACAAAATAAACCTTATTCTGTTAGTAAACATTGTCCCATTTTACTTACATGACCTTCTGCTGTTTTCATCTTTCAATACTTTTTCTCTCTTTATCACTGCTTCAAACATATTAGAATTATGAATTTCATAAAACATGAATATATATATATTTATTACTTAAACTATTTTGATAAAAAGTCGTAATTTTCCTTTACTTCATTTTTATACCCTCATACATTTTTGCGAGCTTTGCAATTTATTTTGAAACTTCTTACAAGCTTAATTTATACTGCTGCATAAAACCTTCATACTTGTTTTAGTTGCTAAATATTGTAAGCTTCCTAGAATTTTATCAAAGAGTGGCACATTCGAACCATATGTTAATTGGTTATTTGTAAGCTGCATTTATTTGCTATGAAGCTTTACAGAAATAATAACTCTTACTCTCATTCTTTATTTAGGATCCCGAACTTTGCTAAACTGTGAGATATTCGGTTTTATTTATTTATTTATTTATTTTGCAGAAGTTTAATCCAATTTTGATACCATTAACACTAAAAACCATCATCAGTGACACAAAGCTGTGAGATTTAAAAAGTAATTAAGTATGTAGATATTGCTGATTAAACTACTCGAGCTCAAACCACGAAAGAAAACGAATTAAGATGCGTTTTTCAAATTTCTCTTTCAGAAACTGAAAATACGCTTCAAATCACTCTTTCCAACCCGTACAAATGTTATGAGTCTCAAAATAAATCTCTGAGAAGTTTAGAGCTGCAATTATGCGAAAATCTATGTACATGCCTCGTAAAATCTTAAAAATGCATGCCTCACAAAAGCCATTCTCCTCTAAGGAAAACAGTCCTAAAGTACGACTCGTACATTCCCGTAATTACTGATCTAACTTATAATAAGATAAATTCACAAGCATCTAATTTTTTTAAAAAAAATTATGTTACTATCGGCTGCTAGAATGATATAATTTTAGGGGCAAGACGAGACGCTGACGGCTATTTATGGATAACAGGTCGTGTGGATGATATGTTAAATGTATCAGGACATTTATTGTCAACCGCAGCTGTTGAATCTGCTCTCATCACACACCAAGACGTTGCGGAAACTGCTGTTGTATCCACTTCACACCCAGTTAAAGGAGAATGCCTCTACTGCTTTATCGTATTAAAGGAGGTAATTTATTTTTATCTGTCTAAGACTGCATAAAATATATAATTCAAAATTAAAAGTTAGCAAAACCAGAAAGAATTTGTATATAGGATGCATTTTATCTTTTTATAGGATTAAATTGCTTGTAGGTCCATAGATCATGCAATAGAATAAAGCTTGTGTTACGTTACAAGATATTTAAATTACTTGTAAGTCTATATATTATGCAATTAAGATAAAGCTTGTGTTACATTATAGCTTTTTTTGTTTGCATTAGAAATAGTCCAGGAAAATAATGGCCCACTTGGTAAAGAATAAAACATGCATTTCGCTCATTTTGCTTCTTATGCTCGTTTCCTATAAAATAAAAAAAGAAATTCCTTAGAAGTTAAATATATTTTTCAAGCTTGAATTCCACCATACGACTTTCTTTATTAAGCTTCTGTGGACTAGCCAAAAAAAAAAAAAAAAAAAAAAAAAAAAAAAAGAGAGAATTAGATCTGGGATAGGTGAGGATAGGATCTCGGATAAGTCATGAAGTGGTTTCTTAGTATTCCTTGCTGAAACAAGCTCTATTATTTTTTAATCCAATCACGGGCCTTTGCCTATTCAGCATTGGCCACGCCTAAGGCCTGAAATGGTGGCCACTCTATTGTGGAGACACCTAATACGGAGCCACCGTTGCCTCCTAAGAGGAGACGGACAGTTACAAGCATACCTTCTCCCGGAATTCTAACCCGGACGCTTCAGTATTGCAGTAGGCTCCCCGAACCACTGTACCGTCTGAGAGGCACAATCTCTATTATAAGACACCTGATAATTCGTATGAATGTATAGTACTGCGATAGTTTGTTCGAATTGCATTTCTCATAACTATCCCGACTATAATTGCATCAAATAATACTGGGATATCTCATGTAAAATACTTCTAATAAATTATTTCATAATGTAAAAATATTTAACTAAAAAAATTTTTTTCGACATCTTTAAGCATTTCTTTTTAGTTTTGTTTTTGTACAATAGTTAATTTTCAGTTATGATAAAATTTTCTCAGCATCTGTATATGTAGACATTCATTATTTTCTCCCTGCTTTCTGCATGCCTTCGTGGTGTAACGGTTAGCCCACTCAGCGCGTATTCGAGAGATCCACGTTCGAGTCCCGGAGAGGACATTACTCATTTTTCACGTCTCCTGCTTCAAAAATACCTAATGACTCTACAGTGGCGCCCGAACTAAAAAGGTGGTAGATGATGATTTTTCACCGCCAGGATCTGGCGATTAGGTTCCCTAATCCTCAGTCGCCTTTTAAAAGTTGGAGTATATAAGGTATTTTCTTCCTCCTTTCTCCATGCCTATGTGGTGTAACTGTTGTTAGCACACTCGGCGCGTATTCGAGATGTCTGGGTTCGAGTTCCGGCGAGAGCATTGCTCATTTTTCATGTCTTCTGATTCAAAATAACCTAATGTTTCTACAAATGTTGCTTCTCTCTCCCTAAACATAAATAACATGGATGTTAAACCGGGCATATACATCTTTCGGTGTTTCGCTAAAAACTGAATACTGAACGCTAAACCGGGCATATACATCTTTCGGTGTTTCGCTAAAAACTGAATACTGAACGCTAAACCGGGCATATACATCTTTCGGTGTTTCGCATGAATCTGAATTCTTTCTAGAAACCAACACAAAACTTAATGATTACACGCCTTGCGCATACTGCAAATAGATATTGCCACGGGAAAAAGAAATATATAGTTACAGATCAGAAGCAACATCTTAAGACCTGGAAGTGTTTTCCAGCACGTATTCCTTCTCCTTACCCCGTAACCGGTGTCGCTCAGTCCAAACTGATGGGAAATAATCACAGAAACCTGCTTACACCTGTACAGTATTTAAGCTTATTTTAGATATTTACAAAAATGGGATGAAAGGGGGATTTATATTTAAAGAAACAACGGATGAAAAACGACACTAAAATGAAATACAATCAGTCTATTCGTATTTTATAACGAATGGAATTACATGATATGAAATAATATTAGATTTTAAAATATCTTGTGTCACTCATGTCGCTCATTAGATCTAATTAAGGTATACAAGTCATTATTAAATTCCTATGCTGAAATAATTCAGTGCATTTATGCAGGGCCAGGGCTAGATGTTTTTGCCACCCGGTGCATACTCTGCCCTCTGCCTTTCCAAAATTCTGCCTTCCAGTTTCTTCCTGTAGCAGCACCGGTTACAATGGCTCTGGCGTCTGATACTTAAAGGGACAATTAAATGCATATTTTGTTCATAAAAGGTTTGCGTGGTTAAGGTATGCGTACTCAGTTATCTATCCATCAAATGATTATTTAGGATTATAATAGTGTTTGTACAATTAACATTTAGCTAATAATGCATAAATAAAGGTGCTGCGTTATTGTTTAATATAATAAGCTTTTTAAAGAAGTTCGAAAAGCATAATTGTGAAAAATACTTGTTATGTAAGTGATGGCTCACTGGGACCTGTGGATCATTATGTGTCTCAGACGTCTTTTTCTGTAGCCCTCGGTTAGGTTAAAACTTTATTATAACTCAGGTAGGAACCAGCGCTAAATGTGTGGGGGTTGTCCATTTGCTGAAAGGGAACTTCTGCAAAAGAGACTAATTTTTTTACTATTATGATATCTTGAATATCTGTAGCGATGGGAATGAAATACTTGATACAAATTCAGACTTTTGTGAAAAATAAAAAAAAAATTAAATTTTAAACTGAAATTGATTTATTTAAACTAATTAAAATGAAAGAAATTTAATTAAAATAATTAAATTTAAAATTGGAAAACTTTTAATCCATTTAAAAAAATTTTTTACTTTATGTTTTTTACACACCGTAATATAAATAAATCTCCTTTTACATTAATGTTTCTATCACAGATATATTCTTGGTACTAATACTCTAATGTTAGTATATGAACGCTGGTTATAAGAGTAACGCAGATGTAAACAAATGTTATAACTTATGTAACATGCAACTCTTGTTTGCGCTAAGTACTTTAAAAAAAATTCTAATACACTGCTGGTCACTGTAAATGCAACACCCTGAAGAAAGCATGCAAATAATATGAAACTTACACCATGCATTAGCGAGGTAAGATATGCAAATGATTAGAATTTCAGCGCAGACGCACATCACGCACGTCTGTGGCGCCACTTCAAAGCGCTATTTAAGGCTTGGAGTTTTCGACGCTTTCAAGTTCGGCAATTGTGTTTTTCTTGTGTTTTTTCAAAATAACGATCAATTATGCCTCGTAGTAAACAGCGATCATTCTTTGATCAAGTATCCGAGTTCGACAGAGGAAGGATGGTGGCCTAGCGAGAGTGTGGATTATCTTTTAGGGAAAACGGTAGTCGTGTTGGACGAAACCAAACAACTGTAATGCGGATATGTGACCGTTGGATGCAGGAGGGTACGACGGACCGACGTGTTCGATCGCATCCACCTCAGTGCACCACTTCACGTGATGACAGGAACATTGTGCACATGGCAGTGACGGATCGCTCAGTCAAATCACGAACCATAGCACAGCAGATTCAGTCTGTAACACATCATCCAGTGTCTGCGCGTACCATTCGATGCCGTTTACAGCAGAGTGGTCTATCCACAAGACGTCTATTGCTTCGTCAACCCTTGGCGCAGAACCACAGACGTCTCCGCTTCTACAGGTGCAATGAAAGAAGGATGTGGACGGCAGAATGGAATGAAACTGCCTTTACTGACGAGTCACGCTTCTGTCTGCAACACCACGATGGTCGGATTCGAGTCTGGAGACACCGTGGAGAGAGGATGCTGAACAGTTGCGTTATGCACAGGCACACTGGTCCTGCACCGGGTATTATGGTATGGGGCGGTATTGGATATCACTCTCGCACTCCTCTAGTACGCATTGCCGGTACTTGAAACAGCCAGCGCTACATCTCCGAGGTGTTGGAGCCAGTTGTCCTTCCTTACCTTCAGAGCTTTCCCACAGCCATATTTCAACAGGATAATGAGCGACCACATGTGACACGCAGGGTCCAAAGGTTCTGCGTCAATCGCCAGATTGAATTGCTTCCCTAGCCGGCTCGCTCTTCGGATCATTCGCCGATAGAAAACATGTGGTCCTTGGTTGCTGAACGATTGACCCAGACTACATCCCAAGCTACCACACCAGATCAACTTTGGCAACGTGTGGAAGCTGCTTGGTCTGCTGTACCCCAAAGAACACATCAAAAGTCTCTTTGAATCAATGCCGAGGCGTGGGGTAGCGGTGATCTCCAACAATGGCGGCTACTCTGGCTATGGATTCTGGAAGGAACCACACTTCACAGAAGTCTATAAATTTAATCATTTGATACTTGGTCAACATGTTATCTACTAAATAAATTTTGTTGTGATATATCTTGTATCTTCTTGTCTTGTCTTTCTGTGCTATCTGCTATTTGTCTTTCTTGGTCTTGCTATTTGGGTGGCCAGCAGTGTAAAAAATGAAGGAATAATTTTAATATGATGGACTTTTCAGAAATTATTTTGTTTTAAATTTGCAATAGTAAATTTTAAATTCATTACATGAATAAAAATTATGCAGTGGAACTTCGGATCACAAAACATCGAGTATATTCCTTCACGAACAAATTGCCTGAGCAAATAATCTCGGATCACCAAAGGTGTCTTGAATTACGATCACTTAAGACAAACAAATGATTTTCAGAAGTGTTTTAGGCAACTTCTAATACAGAATGGGCACTTCAGATTTCTAGAATCATCATTTTAATATTTTCTTTTTCTTGGCTGTCATTAACAAAGACTGGCAGCAAGTGACTTACATAACCATGAATTCGACCTGGAAGATATTATGGTCAAATTAGCTGCAGGCAGAAATTTTGAGAACTTTGAAACTGGGAATATTTTTGTTAACTGTGGTATTGTGTCTGTAGGCGAGACCATGAGATTGCAAATTAAGAATAAAAACATGAAAGTGTTACTAGAGGACAATAAAAAATAAGCTTAACAAGAAATCACAGTAACAACTTCAATAGGTGAAACAGAAGACAATTTTGGAGGAAATGTTCCCAGAACAGGAAAAAAAGAAAATGAATCTAACTCTTTCATCTTCGAAATTTGTGCAAAATGGGGTAAGGTGTAATGTTATGATATCATCTTGATAAAGAGGTGGCAAGCTACAACATTTGACAGCATAAGTATTTACATGTCTACGTAAGCTACAGCATAAGCATTTGTCTCACTTTAGACAACTTTTAAAACGCAGACAACAAGAAATCACATTGGACGAATTTTGAGGGAAGCGAAAGAAAGCTCAGTGAATCTCAGAGTTCAGTGGAGCTATGAGACAAAGAAAAGGTTAAAAAAGATTCCGCAGAAAAATACCTGATGGTACAATCTGATGTTTTTATGGAAGGGGATTTTTCATCCAAATGATTGCATCTCTTCTTTTTTTTTTTTTTTTTTTTTTTCATTTCCTCATTACCCTTGATTTACATGTTTTTACGCTCTCCTTCGTGAGCGTACAGTGATGTTAAATAAATTTTCTTCTATGTTATTTGTTTTGTATCTATTTTTACTTGATTTATTGTTGATTTTATTTTATTTTTTCTTGGATTTAATAATTTCTCTTGGTTTTATGGGCAAAAGTTGCGGTTGTAAACTTTAAATAAGCAATTGTATTTGGCCAAGAAGCGAATTAATCCACTTTACTTTGGGAAAATAGTTTTAGTTTAAGAATAGCTCGGATAACAAACAGACTACAGGAATAAATTAAATTCGTGAACTGATATTTCATTGTATTATTAAATTACGCATTACTTTTACTTTATAATTTGTTTTTGTTATTTAAAAGCTTTTATATTTATTTATTTTATTTTTAAGTAAGAGGAATGTTTAAAAGCTAATGCTAAAAAATACATTTGATACTATAGTTCCTTAGCAAAAATGTTAAATCATGTAACAACAACAAACAATACTAAAGTAGTAAAAGGTTATCTCGTAAAAACTAAATGTAAAAATTACAAATCGAGATGATTTCAAAATCAAAAAGGGTGAGGAAAAAATTAAGAAATTTTAACGCACAAAATATTTTAAAAGGACGTTTGTAAAAATTAAATACACAGTAAATATGTACAAAAAATTGCAACAAATGGTAAATTAGCTCAAACCGAGGTTTGAGCCGGATTTATCAAGGCAAAAGCAGCTGAAAACCCGAATTAAGTTAATACCTATAGCGCGTTTCGTCAAACAATAATAATTGAGACTATAAACGTAAGTCTCAATTATATCGCTTCTTTTCCCGACGCGCTTGTTATGTAAAACTTACTATTAAACAAGAAAAAGCTATACAAGAAAGCCTAGTTAGGCAAATGTACAATTAAATTAAATAGCTAAAAAGCTATTAGTCCAAAATTTACACACTTTTAAAGGATACACCTCCTAGCCTGAAAATTATAAACTTTTTTAATGTAATTTAATGTAAGGAGGTCAATTTTATTATTTTAATAGTGTTATTTTATTTCTTACAATTAGGCTTTGTTTAGGTCAAGAAAAATGAAACTTTTCGTAAGCACATTTTTTTTATTCGAAAATTCTCCCTCCAGTGCCATAAAACAAACAATATACTTGATCACTATTATTTGATAAAATAACAAGACTTTAAGTCTAAAATAGGGAGACCGATTTTCCATACGAGGACTATGAATTTTACGTATAGTTTTCTGAGAAACTGATTCTTCCAGATTCTCGTGGAAAGTATTTTAGTTCTTCGTAGTATCCAGGAAAGCGAAAATTAACGTCAAGTGGAGAATATAAGGATTTGGTTTTGATCGTTGATCGAAACTCGACAAATTAACAGAAGAAGGTTTTTAGCTATTGAAGCTGGTAGAAGCTTATTAAACATATCTTATCAGTTTGTAACCGAGAGATTAAGACATTTATTTAATGAATGGCCAATAAAAGTTTCAGATCTGTATTTTTAACTGCGAGTTATTCCTTATATATATATATTTACTAATTGCAATTTGATTCTAAGAACCAATATTTACTCCATACTTTATACTGAATACGATTGATCTCGATAAGCCACTTTGCTTGACGAATAACGCTTTAATTTAATAAATCATAAACAGTTATGAAATTTCCACATTCTCAAGATTCGAACAACATTTATTTCTTTATATCTGTTGTTTGTTAATATAGTTCAGTAATAACCTTTATCTTCCAGAAAATAACCAACTTTATAGAATGCTATTATGTAAAATATTTCACACAAGTTCAGAATTCATATTTACATGCATTTTTTTAATCAAGGTTTCGAAGATATTAAGGAGGAATGCTAATTCAGGTACTTATTTGGACTGTAGAAAATTTTATTAACTACGTAAAAAGGAGCAGGAATTGTATAATACTTGTTATCAATATTAAAATTACGTTATGCAAATGAACAATAGTGACACGCATATTAGGCCGGTGATCGGCTTCTGGCCACCCGATGCAATTTCTTGTGGCTCCTAAATTCTGCCGCCCACAGCCTTTATAATTTCTAAAAATTTTGCCAACCTAAATTCTGCTGCCTGGTACTGTCGGAACGATCTTCTTGATTTCAGCTCATCAAAAAAAGGATTTTCTTTCAAAACTCTCTTTATTGCAAGGTCATACTCGATTTAAAATGCTATAAAATTTCAGATAGCCGTAAATGAAATTACATGGTGTAACAGCTGGTTGTAGTAGCCGTTAACCAATGTTAGCATAGAACAATCTTAATTTGTCAGATATTTTTAAAACCTCTGCCGGGAACTAAAGTGACTGAACGAACTTTTTAGTTTTCAAGAAATTATACTTATCTAAAAATGGATCAGAAAGAGGTAAGGAAAAAAGACAAATATTTTTGAAAATAATTTAGAAAATAAAATTATCGTATTGAAACAAATAAAGTTACAGCGATCAACAAACATAATTAACCACAAATTATACAAAATATGATGTTTTTCTCACTTCTGAAATGTTATTGTAATTGGTAAACGATCGAACTAAAGCTCTTAATGCTCAGTTTGGTTTTCAAGATGGCAAATGGGAAACAGTAATGGAGAATGGAAAAGAATTATAAAAATGATAATAGATATTTGGCCCTAAGAACGTGAACCGTGAACAAAAAAAAAAAAAAAAAAAAAAAAAAAAGATCAACAGATGGGGCCAGTAGCTTAACTCCTGTTCAGCAGTCTTTCTTATCTTATGTTGTTCATTTGCGCTTTTGGAACTGAGGATGGTGGTTCGGTAAAACCATCGAAACTAGTCCTGTGAAAATTTGAAAATATAGCACTGATTTTTGTTGTTTGACTTCTTAATTAATACTTGTTCGGCCTGTTATTGTATCTTAATCAAAAAAAAAAAAAAAAAAAAAAAAAATGCCAAACATTCTGGTGGAGGTAGGAGTTTTTTTATTTATCATCTCATTTTAATTTTTTCTTATGGATTATAAAGGTACTTTATACTATCAGTTTTACCTCTAAGAAGAGAAAAGCAGTTGAGCCTTCATATTAAATTCATGCTACTCAATCGCAGTTTTACCGAAACCAAAATTAATGTGCGAAAACTGAAAAAGTATTTCTCTACCCCCCTCTCTCTCTCTCTTTTTTTTTACTATCAAAATTTCTTTAAAATGTTAGATTTTCGGACATAATTCGGTGACTGAAGGGGTGCCTGGATTCTCAGGGCACCCTCACTCTTTCCAGCCACGTGTCTGTGGCTGGAAAGAGTCTTAATTATTTCACTTGCTTTCCATATTATATGCTTTATCAGCGATTATTATGCATATATTAGTTGCGAATAAATACTTTGTAAAAAAACTGATATATTGTTTCTTTATATTTTAAAAATGCTTGCAAAAAAAAAAAAAAAAAAAAAAAAAAACATACTAATTGTTTCTTTTTATAGGGTAGAAAATTCGATGAAAATATGAACAAAGAACTGAAAGAGAAGGGTAAGGTTCAAATTTCTCAGCATTGATTGGTATTATTCAAAGTAGGTGAAATGATTCTGAATTAAGGTACTATTTCTTGTCAAATCCTAACATTTGCAGCTCATAGAAAATTTAAACATACATTTTCGTTTGGATTCAACTGAAAATCACTCACTTGAAACATGCAATATGAAATTCTTTTACGCAAAGTATTCATTTTGTTTCTTTTCAGAAATAATGAAACTTAAAAAAATAATGTAAGGCTTAAAACCAAATTGTATATAATAATATTTAAATATCCTGTATGAAAAGTGTTCTCTTTATTTTCTTTAGATGAAGTGAATATTTAGTAAATTAAAAAATAATATAAGGTTAAAAACCAAATAATATATACTAGTATTTAAAGCATCTTCTAAATAATTTATATCAAATTTACACTGCTCAACAGTGAAATTGCACTACTAAGAAGGAAAGGTTTTAGAAGCTTGAAATTCACAAGATCGATTGAACTATTAATGACTGAAAATTTGATACAAAATTTTCAAATCATCCCAGTTTACTTAGATCGAATATGGTCCCCATGAGCAGAAATAACGTACTTGCATGTCTTTGCATATTGTCATTTAGGTCATCAATCATTGTCTGACGAATGTTTTGCCACGCTGCAAGCACTTGGGCACACAGAGCATTAGACTGGCAGCTGGCTGTTCTCGCCCTAGGCGACAAATGATGTCCTAATGTGATCAAGGGAAAAGTTTCAGGAAATGCGGCAGGCCATAGTAACACGTCAAATCATTACCACCGGAAGAACACTTGTTTGAATTAACATTACTGAATTTAAAACATTTACTGAAGTTTCTTCTAACTAATTACTATAAATTAACTTTTAATCTTAATTTGTTTTTAAATAACTCACAGTATTTGTTACGATACATGTATTTGATAAGCAACTCTATACCATACAAAATATGATATGATTAATAAAAATTTTTTCGAGATTCTCTTCTTAAAGATGCGCAAAAATCCGATAAAATTGCTTTCGAGTGTTCATAAAAGAATTACATCTTTTATCACTCCCATACAACTATGAATATCTTTATTGTGACATGCATCAGAAATTGACAAACAGAAGGAATGAGAAACAGAATGAACATGGAGTCAATGCTGATGGAAATCTTTCTCTCACTCTATCACTTTAGCTTGCACATCCTTGAATATCCCGAACATTGTTGCGGCGCCGTCAAAACCTTCATTTCTCATGTATTTCAAATCTACGCCTATTGATGTCAAGCTATCTATAACGGTATTAGCGAAATCTTCTCCACGTGCGAATACTACAGGTTACGAATCGTAAATTTTTGTCTTTCAAGTTCTACACATCTCACATAAATAGATACTTGCTGTCGTAATTAAATGTCTGTTTCAACAACTAAAATTGAAAACATTTACTTTTTCAAGGATCTTTTCTAAAATAATTTTACTGTAAGACTTTGAGATTTCATTTTGTATTTTTTGTGGAGTATATACTGTATTGTTGCTGCAGGATTCTAAATCGTTTTTTAATACATCATCTCCTGCATCTATTCAGAAACTTTTTGATAATTTGTGGAATTTGCGGAAGTTTCCTTCATTCTGATGAGATTCAATATTGTTATCATTTATGTTCATTTCCTCAGAATCGCGATGACATTTTAATGAATTCATTTCTCTCACAGAAGATCATTGTTTTTATAATAAGAAGCTTTCTTCCCATCTTCTTCATCTTGTCGAACGCCGGCGATATAAATTGTATCAACTATGGATTCTTTGCGTCCAAGAACGATATTTTTTAAAACAGTCAGCGAATAATAAGGAATATTTATCTTATTTTTAACCTTTTGGTAATCACAGAATTTTTCATTAAGGTTTTTGGCAAAGAACGATGTTTTTTTAGACAAAAAGCGAATAATAAGGAATGCTTAACTTTGCGAAGAGTCTCTTTTACTAATTGCCCTAAAGTCTGAGTTTTCGATTGGCGTGCATATCTCTTGGCGAATATTACGCAATATTTACTATACACTCCACCTTTAACTTTAAAATAGGCGAGTGAAAGGTATTCAGATAATAACGCATATTTAAAATTTCTATTTACACTTTTATTGCCAAATGAAGAACTTAGTGACACGTACTTCTCTCTGCTCTGTTAAAGCATACTCTTTTTTTTTTTGAAGAAAATCAAGTTTTTCCTTTTCAGTTAATTCACGATTTACCAAATTTGATACATGATATTTTTCATTTTGGAGAGGAATTTTAACTTCTGCTAAATAGTTCATACGGATATCTGAATTAGAATTAAAAGTACTTGTAAAAACAGAACTTTGCGGATGAGTTTCACTTTCAACTTGCTGTAAAAAAAAAAAAACACTGCATCGCTCCCTGTAGCGCGCTTTTAATAAATTTGAATAGTAACTCTTTTACCCACATTCAACCATCTTTCCAATGGTCTCTAGCTTTACCACTACAATACATGTTGATTTACTGTTTAGTGAATAATAGTGATAAGCATTAACAAAATAGGCATACGTGATCTCTTCCGATAAGAGAGATCAAGACTATTTTAAAAGGCAGTTTGGGAAAGGCAATACAAAAATGCCTCCTTCAATAAGAAAATTAGCAAAATAATGCTACCTTTAGTTTTTATTAATTTGTAATACAAGAAACAAATTGAGGACTATCGGTAATCACTTTATAAGAATATTGTAAATCTAGTTTAAATATGCATGCAATATGCAAATCTCTCGCAACAATTACAAGCAAGCAATACCACGACGAAAGTATGCTATACCGCTAATTACCTCAGCCGCAGAAGAAAGGTCTTGTTCTTTTGGTGGTTACGGTCAAATCCAAGCAGCACCAGCAACATGCGGCCTAGCGTTCTTGTATGGAAAACGACTTCTGGGATACATTGTAGAAATGAACGTACTATTGGCTCCCCGACCAAATCACCCTAAAGTTGAGATGCCAGTATACTAGGAAGAAAAACTAAAGCAGTCCGCGCCACAGCATTATTGCAGGGCCATTTGACCTCTTAAGAAGATTTGTTGCTGAATTTGGCCATGTGGACTTTAAACCGGTCTCTGATCATTTATTGCTACTGAAATAAAAGTGAGACTTTTATTGAAAATTGGAAATTATTTTCATGTTCTGTTGGAAATAAGTGAAGATCCCTGTTAAAAATAAATAGGCCACATAAGCTCATAAGCTAAATCCTGGAAAAAACAAACAGCTCATTCGTTTTATTTATTCTACTATTTATTTACATGTTCAGTGGAGCGCTGAATATGATTTGGTTTGGTTTATTTTACTATGACAAAGTAATCGAGGGCTATCTTCCTAAGGGAAGGGATGCCTTCAGGGAGGATTTTCTAAGCGAAACTGGACGCCAGACGACAAGCCCTTATACACTCATGTCCATAAATTAAGGATAATGCAAAATCAGGCAAAGGAAGTGTTAGAAGCAAAACAAATTTGACTTATTTGTAAAGCTTATTTATTAAACAAAGGGTAAAGAGCAAAAAAAGATGCTATATGTTTGATATTATTAAAAGTATTAGCGATTTTTTCTCCCTGGAGCAAATTACAAAAACACCTATTTACAAAAAACCAATATTACATAATTGGTATGATTGTTAATACATTGTATGTCTCCCAGACGATGTAAAATAGTCCGTACAACACCTAGGCATGCTGAATATCAAATTATCGATCTGATCTTGGGGGATATTACACCACTCAAAAAGCAATGCTCTCCGAAGTTCCGGTAGACATGTAGGAGGAGGTTGATGGGCTGCAACTCGTCGGCCAAGCATGTCCCACACGTGCTCTACTGGATTCAAGTCCGGTGAGAATGCTGGCCAGTCCATACGGGTGATATCCTCCGATTGAAGGCATTCGCTTACGATGTTTGCACGCTGAGGACGGGCGTTGTCATCCATAAACACAAATTGTGCGACCATGGCGCCCCGAAACAAACGTACATGTTGTTCCAGAATGACGTCCCGATAGATTTGGTTTGTCATGGTTCCAATTTGAGCATGCAGGTCAGTTCTGGAACCCAGAATAATTCCACCCCAAACGAGCACTCCTGCACCACCGTAACGGCGAGAATCAGACTGCAAGCTAAACCTGGACTCATCGGAAAACATCACACAAGCCCATTGTTGCGGTGTCCACAATGCATGCTCTCTACTCGAGGCTGACAGCAGGCGACAGTGAGTTGCAGTAAGTGGAACGCATCTGACAGGTATAGACCAATCTGCCCTAAGCGTCTGTACACGGTCTGCCTTGAAATTGTCGTACCAGTGGCTGAAGAGAGCTGACGAGACAGGTCTGAGGCTGTGCTCCGCCTGTTTCTTTTGGCAGTAACTGCCAAATACCGGTCATCATTCGGCGTTGTAACTCTGGGGCAACCTGTGCTGTAACGTCTACTCACAATACCATCATCTTGGAATCGTTGCCAAAGCCTGGAGATGACACTCTAGGCAATTCCAAATTCGTCTGATACTTCCAGTTGGGTACGCCCACATTCCAGAAGGCCGATAATTCTACCACGTAAAAAAAATCATCCAAATGCGTCCTTTGTGTCATAACTATTCGGTTATTGCACTGAAATGCTTATAAAGCGCCTGCGAACAACTTTACTTCTTTGCCTGTATTCCTTATATATCACTCTCTTACACTCTTGTCATTGTGACGTACCATCGGTGTCATCTGGTTACTTGCATAAGATTTAAGAAGAAGGTTACTTGCCTGAAATTTGCATAAGATTCTTGAAGATGTGTGTAGTGATTTTACAGGTGATATATTTATTTTAGAGTTCGATTTCCGCGTGACACCGAATTATCCTTAATTTATGGACATGAGTGTAAATTGTTTTTTTAAGATTTTCCAGCTCACAGGTCCAAGAAGGGCTTAATTCTTTTTATTTTGCTTCTTGGGATCCACTTTTTGCTCATTCCATAATAGTGGAACAAAAACGAGACGTGGCGGCATGAATACTTTTAACTCCACTGAGATCAAAATTGCGAAGATCTTGGTTCCAGGTCATTTCTATAATTCTTCCACTTTGCCTTCTTTAAGTTCCAATTCCTTTTAATATTTCCATTGCTTGAAGTTTTGGGTTTTTCCTTCCGTATAGGATGCATTTGTAATGATCATTCGATGGCCCGAGCCAGGATCATGCAAGACGTTTCTAAAAGTGTTCGCAACAATGTCTTCAGATATAATGACTAAATCAGGATTAGTTTGAGTACCATTATAGTGTAAGAGGCAGGATCTGATGTAAGATAAATAAGTTCTAATTTCTCACAGCTTAAAAATGTAAAATAAGTCAATATCTTGAGAATGAGTGACATTCATAATCTGGGTCTTCTTATTCTGAGAAAGGCCACCGGCATTCCATTGCAAGATTCGAAGCCCATTCTTTGCTATAATGTAATAAAATCCAAATGCTCAAAAGAACAAGGAATCGAGGCAACGATGTGACAGAGTTAGCTTTAACCAGGGCGCACCATAAGGAGGCCTGTCACGTCACACCCGTTTTTCTACAATGTTGTGATATTTTATAGCTTTTAGGTTGATAATTTTTTGTTTTAAACTTATTTGTGAACACGTCTTGTATTACAGTGTTCATGTGTTACTTAGAATTGTGGTTTTTAAAGTCCACCAAATTAAATTCTAAAGATATCTCAGTTAAAACGCGAGACAGGCAATTTCGTTTCTGACGGGCCTCAGTGACATTTGGCGATTTCTCGCGAACTTAGTGACTTTCTGGAAGGTTCACCAAAACAAATTTCCGAAGCTCTCTCTACCACCCATTCTTCCAGCAATTTCCAGGGCCCGTGCTGCAAAGTATAAATACGAGTCCGTGAGCTAGCAGAGTTGACTTGTGAATCAGCTGCGAGATTTAGTGGTTAGCTAAATTACGAGACAGGGTTTACCCTGACAGTCATTTGAGGAAATTCACGATTAATTTCGCACACTAAGGAAAAATTGCTTAGTATCCACATTCCTTTTGAGCTATTTTCAGCTGTTATTGTGCTACTTAATATTTTATTTTCATAACAAATTGTTCATTTCTTCTTATTTATCTGGACTTATTAGTTAAAGAAGCTTCAGCGATCTCATAGTTCGCAACAATAGTGTTTTTCCAATAATAACAGAAAAAAAAAGGAACGAATTAATCAGAATATGCATTGGTATTTTAGATAAATTTTCTTTTATCCGAGTTTTAAACTCACTTTGCTTGTCGTACCAAATGGAGAAAAACTGTAACATTTATCGATTAATCTGCGATCGATGACAATAGCTACTTTTCCAATACTTAAAATTTACTTTTGATTTTGGTGCTTTTGAAATTAAAGATTTCTCTTAGCAGATTTTTTAAACAAGGAGCTTGAAATTACTGTTTAAAATATTAAAAAATGTTTTAAGTTAAAAGTCTGACTAAAAAATGTTTTTCATTCATGGTTTTAAATTAAATTTGTGTTCATTGGAGATGGTATCTGAAAAGTTTTCTTATTATAAATTTTTATGAATTATTGGTTTGTTACTTTGCAGCTTTAGCACAAGTCATAGGCTTTTTAATTTACTTTTTATTCTTTGTTTTGAATTTATATCTATCTGTATATCATTTATCTTTAATGTTATTTATTTATTTTCAGTTCGCTATTGGATCGGACCATTTGCCACACCTGAATACTTGCACATTACGTCAGGCTTACCAAAAACACGCTCTGGTAAAATTCTGAGACGAGTTTTGAGAAAAATTGCAGCTAATGATCGAGACCTGGGAGATCTCACTTCACTTGCTGATGATTCCTTGATTGAAAAATTATTCCAAACTCGTCCTCAGACAGCTTAAGCGAAGAGAAGCTATTATGGAAGAGATTTTGCAACTTAATTTGCTTCAGCCTTTGCCATTTATTTTTGTAAAATGAAAATTGAGCTATTGAATGTATTTTGGGTTAAAATCAGGGGAGAAAATATTTTAGAAAATATCCGCACTTAATTAACATGTTAATAAAAACAATATTATTTCTTCCGTTCCTTGAGAATCTCAAAAATATTATAAAATAAACGTACTTGCGTAATTATTGAGTTTCTATACATAAAATAGGCTCTTCACAAGAGGAAATTGCAATTTCTCTGCTATAGTCAAGGCTTCTCTATGTACTGAGGATCAATGTTGCACATATCATGAACTAATAGATCTAACTTTCAATAGTTGTGAAATATCATAGTGGCCTGCTATGTATGTTTTGATAGTCAGAAAAGTTTAGATTAGAATGAATCAAATAGATATAATGTTTGAAATGTTGTTCAAAAAGCTGCATGTGGCTTATAATGAAAACAAGAACCCTTTGTTCAAATATATATATTTGTGCATCCATTACAAAATGCTCTTTTACATATATTTTAAAATATTTTGTTAAAATATAAAAATATATATCGCACAAAATTATGACATTTCTGTTAAACTACACAAGCAGAAGACTTTTAATATAATTAACTGTTTTTGCAAATTTTACAAAAATCAGTTATCATTATCTTCGCAATAAAATCGAAATAAGAGATATGTTAATTCTTCTGTAAGCATATATTCAATGATTAAATGCTGACGGTTGAAAAGATATCTCACTCCTTAGCATAATATATGAAGAAGAAATGATTATTTCAATATATATATAAATGTTGCTTCAAAAAGTGCTTTCAAATAATTTCAGTAATAAATGTATTTCTTGGCGATCTATGTTAAAACCATAACTGCCTTGTTTGAACTAGATGAAACCAACACGCTTGTTCTCAGTTCAGAGAAAGAAATGACGAGCAGTGTGACCATACATATCATGAACTGTGTTTCTACTGTATTGACAGGTGCATTCGTCTCCTAAAAAGTACATAAAGTGCTATATTTGTTAATTATTTTGTTGTTTCTGTATTATTAAATAATTATAAAGAGTGTATTCAAAGCTGTTTTTTTTTTTCTTTCCCTCCAATTTCTTATTTTATTGTGAAGCTGTAGCTTTCCTTCAATTATTTGCAGATATTCGTACATTTTATGAAAAGTAATAACCTGAGAGGAATTTAATATTAGGAAAATTGAAGTGATTGATTTTTATACACACCCATTTAAATTATCATCTAAATACAATATATGCCATAATTTAGAATAACTTAAACTGTACGTCTCATTTTTCCTAAAACTTGAGTTAAATCCTATCTACTGATCCAATGCACTATTATAAACTTTGTTTCCTTTCCTCATTCTGAAATTTATTCAAGAACTTTCTCTTTATGAAGAAGTTTTGTTTAACATAATGATGTTACAGATTTTGAAAAATGGAAGTCTTTTCTAAACTATTTTCCAATAACAGTGTAACCACATCACCAAGCAACAGACTAACGACATTTAGACGGATATTGCGCATCTCTAATTTCAAACTACACTTTCTTATTTTAGGTATATTCTTCGAATACCGCACACCCTTTTCTTTATGAAGAAAACTGAAATGCACATGTGCGATGCTCAGATTTTTTTTTTCTGTCATTCATCTGAAGACTTTTTCCAGGCTTTCTAACAAAGGTATACTGAATTGACAAACGATAAGGGGAACAATATTTGTGCGTGTATGGGGGTGGAAATACTTGAGGGAGTAAATAATTCTGTTCATAGAGTACGTTATATTCAACGCAGCTGTGCACAAGAATGTTATTCTAAATTTTCAAGGAAAGAAGGGCATAATTTGGGGTAAGAATGCACCTCCGACTCGAATGAAATCGCGGAATCAGGGGTCAGATATTTTCTTTCTCTCCAGTCATTTAAAGCTGTGATTTTGAAATGAAAATAGTAAATCGCATTTGCTTTAGCTGAAATGCAATTTATCTAGTGTTCCTTTTAGTAGTAACTACGGATTCTACCACACGAAACAAACCATCAACAAACAAAAAATGTCAATATGCAAAAGAAATCTGAAATCATGCTGTAGTGAGGATATGATACTAACGTGATGTGATGTTGGTGAAAGATCCACACGTGAATGGAAGAAAAATGAAATCACAATAATTAATATGCCAAATAATAAATGTACTCTGCCTACAGAAATAACGAAATGGTCTATCCTAGAAGAATATGTCACGAATTGAGTCTTCAAAAATCACCAGAATGAATTAATTATAACAAGAAACAGTGCATACATAGTATTTGCCTTAAAATGGGTAAAAAAGAATGAAAATGAAAGCGAAATCTTTAAAGCAACTTTGCGTTAGTGTAGTCGATTTATGGCATGGAATAATTTAGTTTTACGAGGGGGGACAAAAGTTCTTCCCCTCGCAAAAGGCTTCCGAAAAATTTGGACTATAAATTGGTATGTTTTCAGAAATATGCTATTGACCTATGAACGCAAAAATTTATTTAATGTCACAATATTGGCAATATGAATGAAACTCCAATAATATTTAGTATAATTATAGGAAATAAAACAATTGATGTGAAAGCAATAAAAATGTTTCACATAAGAACAACAGGCCATGAGAAATCTCACATAACTGTAGTACTTTCCATCTTAGCAGATGGTACAAAATTAAAACCCATTTTTATTTTTAAAAGAAAGAAAATGCCAAAATGTAATTTCCCAAATAGTGTTTGCATTCATATTTATGAGAAAGGATGGATGGATGAAAATGGAGCAAAACTATGGATAAAAAATGTTTGGCAAAAGCATCCTGCTGCCCTAAAGAAACCAAAAACTCTTTTAGTTTGGGACATGTTCAGATCCCATCTAAACGATAATATGAAGAACTTGAGGAAAGAGTTATAGACATGACAGTTGTTCCAGGCAGATTAACACACGTAGTTTAACTTTTGGATGTGAGCATCAATAAACGATTCAAAGGTAATTAATTTAAAAAGATAGTGGAATACATGGCTGTTAGAAGGTGAAAAAATATTTACAGATGGAATCCAAAGGCGTCATGCTAGTCTAGAAATAGATTGAATAGGACATGATTTTTTATTTATGGGTCAAAGTAACAGTGACGATGAAGATGAAACAGAATTTGACGATGTACTTGATGATATAATGGAAGACGAATATGACAAATTTTTTCATGCTGTACGATAATGCAAATTTTTAAGTTCATAAGATATGTCATTGTTTTTAAATAAACAGCATTTATGTACATGTAGAAATCTAATTTTTCATACTCATCTTTTCCTTACTTTGAAATCTATCCTTTTTATATCCAACCTATAATATGCACCCATGAATTTCAATCTTATTTTTTGTAACAAATGTGTGTATTATAGGATGGAATATACAGTACATTTTCTCTACATTTCTGTGTATGAAAATTCAAAATCTTAGAAGTATGTATACCTCCCAATTCTGAAGCATACACATGCATTTACAAGGTAATTTAAAAATCTAGAAACACATTACTATTTTGTAAAACATTGTACGATTCAGAAATGTACTGCGATGGTAGAAAAAAGTGTATGGATATATGAGCATTACGGCGCTATTTCGAAAGCGGCCATCTTCTATCGGAGTATGGAGTTAGTTGAACAAGTTTAATTTTCTTAGAATACAATGGTACATTTGCATTTAGCTTTTTGGTGTCTATTTATTACAGATGTACTGACCTATGAGTTGATGTAATTAGACACTGTTCATTGCTTCGTTATCCCAGGTGAAATAGCACTGATAAGAATGAATTCATAGCATTCTTATGAGTGATGGAAATATCTCCCGTATTATTCTCACAAGTTTACAGCTTTACTATTAAACAGCTAACACTATTCACAACGCTTTAAAAAAGGTATTTATTTAAAAGTAAAGAAGTGGTGAAACTGGATTGGTGAATGACAAATACACTAGATGATATCCGAAAACTGCAATAAACCAAGCAATGGCTACTGCAGTTGTTTCTACTTTTACAGTGTGTTTTCACTGCTACCAGCATACTCATGCTGCACACATTTCCTTAGAAATTGTTGTTGGGAAAAGTTCATTTGTATGTTTAATATACATAAGCAAGTAGAATCTGAACAAAACTAAAAACACTGAATTAGAACCTATTATCCAAAGCAATGACAGGTCATCTCCTTGTTTAATCTTTTTCTGCATTCAAAATAAAATAATTTTTCTAGCAGTGCCTTGTACATCAGTATCAGCCACAAACAATCCCATTTGCATCAATAATACATGCAGTACTAAGTAACTACTGATCAACTAGTCAGAATGACTTTATTAAAAATTGCCAGGATAATCAGAATATGTTTTACTAATATTCTGATTACTAATAGCCTCCCACTAACTAATCTCATACCATTTTCTCATTTATTCATATAAATTCATACAAATTTCATTTGGTTTGTCAAGTGAGATGGAACGAGAATAACTTAGTACATATACAGGTAATTAATTTAAAAAGATATTTTTCCGGTAAAAGTATTACTGCAGACTTGCTAGCAGCAGTTCCACTGCTGCGAGTAACTGGTAAGACACCCTTCTCAAAGATGTGCCTGGGCTTGGAGAGGAGCCAATCTGCCATAAAATCATGCCATTCAACCTTCAATCAGGAAAATCGTCCACTGAGCTGTGCCATCAGAGGAACAAACATATGGTACTGCAGGGTGACATGTCCAAACTAAAGATAGCTGCTGTAATATCTCTCATTAAGGACTTGCAAGGAACACACTTTATTTCAACGGAAACAAAAACCATGGTCGAGCATTATCATCTCACAATACAATATCAGATCTCAATATCCTGTATCTTTTATTTCTAATTTTGGCACACAGTACTTAGCGTTTGACAGTATCTCTTTGTTAGGAGTGAGTCAATGAATATCACAACACTTCTGTCAAAGAACAGTTAATAAAAGTTTCCCAATCCCTGGTGCAATTTTGAACTTATTGCGGGGTACAACAAATGCTTCCATTGTACACTCATTTGTTTTATTTTTAGTTCAAAGAAAAAAGAATAATGTTTCATCACCAATTAAAATTGTCTATATATTAGATTTACTATTGCAGGGGAGGAGGACTGCAGTTGGTGGAAAAAGGCCTTAATCTTACTCTGAAATCACAGCAAATGCTAAAAGGCCCAGACATTTATGCATGTGCAGGTATAACTGCAGTACCAGATATGCATACATTTTCTTGTGTACTAGCTTCTCATTCACATTTATTCATATTGTCTCATAAATCACTTTGAATTATTTGTGAAGAAAAATTATGGTCACCTAATGATCTGCCTTCATGTATTCCATCCTTTTTCCATGAACTTTGATAGACTTGGTCTAGTATTTTCAAACAAGCTTTCACAGCCTTCAAGGAAGCATGTGGTACATTTATGGGCAGTTTTTGTAAAATAAAATTTTCCTCATACATGTTGAGCATTCATCTACAAATCAATTGGCTTTTTGCTTTCCCAGATCGCATTCATCATTTGTCAGTAGATTGGAGTCAAACTAATGCACTACAGTGTTGGGCTCAGTTATTCATTGCATAACATCACCAGCCTGTTTTCTCACCAACATAATGGCCACTTGATGCAGAATTGAATAACTGCCAACCATATAGTCAGGAATGACTTCATTAACCATGCCAGGGAATCAGGGTATGATTTATACAGTATCACAGGAACATTAAGAAAGTTACAATAAACATTATAGCATAAAGTTATAATTCAAACTGGCTAATCCATATCCTTGAGGAAGCAAGGGGAAGTTTTAGCATTATTGTCACTGTACACCTGAGCAAACCTAATACACATTACATAAAAGATATTTGCTCATTTTTAGAATTATTTCGGAGCAGTTTTCATTAATACAGTCAAAAGTCGTTAATCTGGACTCGTCGGGACCTTCAGCGACTCCGGATTATCGATTTTTCCGGATTATAGATCATCAGTTTAAATCTGGTAAGATGGCATGCAGAAATTATAAAATTAAAAATATGAAACCGTAATTTATGAAATAAAGAACAATTATGATCTAAAGGTATCAAAATTTACAAAAAAAAAAAAAAAAAAGCTTAATATTTATTTGTTTACTTTATTAAACATTTCTTTCAAAGTAAGTTGTTTAAGTTGCTTCGTTTTATGTGATAATACTTCCTCTTTAATTCTATAAACAGACATAATTTCTTGTTCAGTTACAAAGTTCTGCTGTTCAAGTCCTATAATTGCTGTGCTGAGAATACTGACTAATTTGTCAATCGAAATTTTTTCGTTTTCAATAACCTCTGTGTCACTTTCTTCACGATCGGAAGCGAATTATAATGACGAGGAATTTGATTTAAATTATATCAAAGACGAAGTACATCGAAATGAAATATTACATTTAGTAAGGAATTATAAGCCAAATAAAATAAAAACATCTGCCCTGAAAATAAGGATAGTGCTGACAGATCAACTTCCAATTCATTGCGCGCCACGGCGTTCTTTGAATTAAGGAAAAGGAATAATCTTCTTTGGAAAGTGCAGAAACATATCCTTCAATCCACAGTTTGTTTACAAGTGACAATTTGAATGAAAAGTAAATTTAAAAGTAACAGATAATATTTTTTCTAAGTTGTAGCCACAAATTTTTATTACAAAACATCAGGGTTTTTTAGTTCTTTATCAAAAGCATTCTAAATAGTGCAAACACTCTCTATACGATCACAACCTAATCACATAACAGACATCCCCTAAGTTTAGTATGAATTATGGAAAAGGAATAATCCTCTTTGGAAAGTGCAGAAACATATCCCTCAATCCAGAGCTTGTTTACATGTGACAATTTGAAGGAAAATTAAATTTAAAGGTAACAACAATATTTCTCTACGCTGTAGCCATAAATTTTTATTCCAAAACATCTGCTTAATTCTTTCTCAAATCATTCTAAAAATATGTGCAAACACTCTCTTTACAATCACACCTAATCACATAACAGAGATCCCCTAAGTTTAGTATTAATATTTTTATTCCAAAACATCTGCTTTTTTAATTCTTTATCAAAATCATTCTAAATATGTGCAAACACTCTCTATATGATCATGACCTAATCACATAACAGAGATCCCCTACGTTTACTATGAATTTCCTTTTCAAATACATTACACCTCATGCCTCGAACACTGTCCCTTCTAGCCTGAAAATATACACTGAATATTGTCCTACAGTGACATGAAAATCTGCAAATGCACTGGTTAATTTTTTTCTCTAATGAAATTAATATATTCGACTGAATGAAAGCACTCGTAGTGTTCACAAGAAAACTTAAAGAAGTTACTAAATCTCTAACTCTGGAATATATTAAGGCAGAAGAAAATGAAAAATGACAAAGTTGAACAGCATCATCTAATTACTATGAAATACCTAGATATCATTTCATAGCACATATCAAATATAAAGCAATTATAAAGTGGATTGCTTCAACATAAACAATGATCTTGAATAAACTTCTTGCCACATTTCATATTTCCTTCAAATAAGATAAATTCTGATATGATGCTCAAAATCTGCTGATTGCATTAACTTGGTTTTAATCAAAGTGCTGGGTTTATATGCACTTATCTCCACCATCAGACTTAAACACACGAGGAACCCAAAAACAAAGGTCTCTTGAATATTCAAACATCTAGGTGTGTCGAATCAAGGGCATGCTGCTATGTCACTTATGCCTTGGACCTGCAAAAAGTGCAATGGTTTTGCCAGCTGAAAGGGCCTAGGTAAAATAGGGTACATCACACAAAAGCATCTCTAGAATCACAATTACATTTGTCATGAGGTATTATCTCCTCACAACATCGATTGGATGACTATCCAACAGAAGTTCTAAGATGATTTGTGAGTGTTGCAGTAGATTTCACAGATGGTTGCCTGGGCCTTTGATTTTGTGAATCTGCACAACTTTCCATTAGGTGGGTATAGAATTTTGGCAGGAGTTACTTTATCTTGGAACAAACATTTGCTATTCTAAATCTGAAAACAATGGTCATGAGCGAGGCACATGGATTAACAACTCAATGAATGCAGCAAATTTTAAACAAAGGTGATAAGACTGCATGACAGAAATTTATTTATAAGTCTGCATTTATTTTAAAGCAATGCATTCAGTAAAAGATTAATATTTAATGACTTATGCCGATACTGACAATTGTTGGAAGTTAGTGCTTTGCTGAATCTCAATTCATAGTCATTAAATGATGCTGCACAGTTTTGTAACTTTCTTCACAGGATCAAATCTTATAGCATGCATATTTTTCTGTTAGAAGCTAAAACACTCACTTTCATTCCATCCAACAGATCCTCTTTAATATGTTTAATGCAGTCTAAAGCTTTCGATTATGAAATAAAATAGATGCATATGCATTGACCTTTGATGATGCACACACAAAAAATAACATACAATGATCAAAAGTTCCTCTAAAACATATAAAATAGACCAAAACAACAATTCAACATCTAATGCACAAATGCTTCTTTAAGTGAAATCGTGGCGGGAAGGGAGAAATGATTAGTGGATAAATCTGAGCCAAAACATCTTTTTTACTTCAATTTCAAACAAAGAAATATCCCTCTCTAAACAGCCAATTTTCAAAATTTCATACAAAAGTTGGATTCCAAAATTTGAAATTCAGGTTTAATGCATTATTCAGTTATCTTGGAAAGAGAAAAGCAGTATACAATTTCTGCATTATACTTTCTTAATAAGATTTTTGGAAGAGCTAATTCTAAACGTAACTAGAGATGAAGATTTGTTGGCAGAGTGAAGTATTCGGCTAAACTCTTTGAATATTTGTTTTCTCCCATGTATACTAAACAGGCTGTTTTGATTGTGGTTTTGTTTCTCTTCAGCTTATTAAATTACACAAAATATGCTCTTTTATTAAAAAAACTTATTATTTTAAGAATTTGAAATTAAAACATGAAATGATTACTTAACCAGCAGATATTAAAGAAAATAATAAACAGTACCATGTTAAGGTTATGATCTATTCATAATGAAACATTTACTACATAAAAACGTGATAGAACAGAAGGTGGAATGATACTAATTCATAGTCAGGTGCATGATAGCACTATGTTCAAAAAGCTCACAGAAAATACTTGCAGGGCAGTTCCATTTGAAATATATAGAGTGATTAGCTAAGTCACGTTTGTAGTGACATTTGACACGTGACCATGAGCTTTTTTTAATAAAAAAATTTAAGAAAGTTTTGTAAAATATATTATATAAGAAATCTAAATTGAATTCTAAACCAGAGTTCCTGCAGTGTTAATTAGGAAACCTCTACCTTATTTGAAAGGAATTTAGGTATTTAAAAAGAATATATCCAATAATAGCTCTGGTGCAGAATTGGGTGCCTCTTCAATTAGCAACAAATTTTGTTCAATTTTCGCGATGAAACCCCATTTCTGATTACCATGATAGTTTAAATTTTGTTTTAGCTTCCTGATTATTTTTGAAGTGAAAATAGATCAACATGGACAAAGTTAAGACAGTGCACAATGCATAGTTTCTGCAATTCTCTAATTTTTTAAAGTGAAAATAGGTTGATGTGTACATGGACACCGAGTTTGTGCAATTCTTTGACTTTTTATTTTGGTTTTGTGTACCAGACATCTTGAAATTGTGCCTTCTTGGCATCAAAAAAGAATCGCCCATAAAAAAGGGGTACCCAATAGCCTTATCTCCAATAATTTATCATATATTAATTACCAAAATTAAAAAACTTTGCATTTAATTTTAGTAACAGAATAAAAAATTAAGGGCCTTTGAAGAGGGATACAAGCTTTAATGAGTGAAAAGTAGGGCAAATGCTATCTGCACCATGTAATTACTTCAAGCAAATGAAATGAGATCACATGCAGGCAGCATACTCTAGGAACAAAACCATTAAGTAAAATATTTTCAAAGTTAAAACTTTATTGAAATAAAAAAATAATTTATTGTATTTACAGCTGAATTATTGCCATGTGATACAAGAGAAGGGCTGACATAAATAAGTTCTGACAATAAATCCAGAAAATACTACATTTTCAAAATGCAAAAATACATCAATTTTCTAATATTCTTAATAAGATCAACAAATACCATGGTTTAAAAATTATTTTCCCTTTTAACTTACTTGAATGAATGAAAATGCTAATTCCTCATTTTATATGAAAATAAATTAACTATGACCTGTTATGCTTTAAAAATATTCTTTTTAGTAAATAAAAACAAAACTTTTATGTGTAATGTTAAACCTGGTTTTAAAAAACTGAACACACTCATTAAAAAAATGAGTAAGCATGTTAAAAATAACAAAATATAATTCACGCATTTTCCCCTTTAATGACTTATAAAGACTATGTTAAGCTATTTCTGATTCCATATAGATAATTTTCCATCACAGAAGATAAGATTTTCTGAGGGCAAAGGAAGTTCCTGTTCACAACCTGGACGATTTGGAGGAAATGAAATATTTCGCCCACTATCCAAGATGACAGGCTTGAAAAAGAAATTTGAATACGCATTATGATTCCATTACATATAATATACAAACAATGATATTACCAAAAGCAATATACAAGAAATATTTCTAATAATAAAGGAATTTATTAATAAGCATGAATTAAAAATGCATTGTGTTGAAAATAGAGAAATGCTTGAATATACATATAACAATAGCCATTTAAAACAAAATTAGGCACTATAACAATTAAAACATATTTTTCACTAACAACTTAAAGCATTAAATACATTTTACATGCTACAGAAAAATGCATGCCTAGGTAAATGTGACAGATTGGAGTGGTTTATTGCATAGACAGAAGGAAGAAACTTTGAGGCAAATGTAGCCGTAGACTTTGCACATTTTACTACTGGATAAAAGAAATGAGATGCATATTTAGATTCACACATCACTGTGAGTGCAATATGCATCCCACAATTTTGAAAGCTTAGCACATCTTCAGACAATGGATGAAACAGAATTGAGTCATTACATATTAGCAAGCAAATGTGGAAGTTCAACACATTCAGAAGAAAGCTTGGGAGAGTGTCAAAAAGTTTTGGCTCTCAAAAAGCTTTTATTTCAATTGAAATCTTATTCACTGATTTGTAAGAATGTACCTGCACTGCAGCATTATGCAAGATTGAATGTATGTTATAAATTAATCTGAAATGATGCAGTTCATATATTGTAAGCAGTTACTTTTGGACAGAAATAGGAAATACCCAAATTAAAATGAAGACTATAAAGGGCTATTGCCCATTAAGATCAGACGTTTAGATATTTTTTATCGTAAACAAACACAAGCAAAATTATTCAAATAACCAAATTCAGACTCATACAGGTTATTAACAATATTAAAAATTATCAACATTTTATTTCATGAAAAAGGCAATAATTAATTTTAAATTGTCAATGAGTACAGGTAAAAGGAGAGAGGTACTTTCTTCTTGTATCAGTTATTAAATGTCGAATATTTAAATTATTTTGTGAACAAAATTATTTCTTCAGTGGAAAATTAATGGCAGAGATACCCACATCTAACATCTCTGCCATTAATTAAGGAACAGCCATATAAAAAATCAAAACAGTAATATACAAATTAAAATCTAAATCAGCTTCTGCTGAAATGTCAAAAATAAAGCTTACAACTTTAGGGCTGTTCTTAAAATGCTTTTGATCCATATCACCTTGCTGACATTGAAGGCAAACAGCAGATTCTTTCACACCTATACCATTAAATGTCTTTAAATTGCCATGCCTAGTGATTAACACAAGCAAACCCACAGTTCTACTCAAGAAACTGGAGATATGCTTATTTGGCCAAAATTTTGGGAAAAACCTTTAGAAAAAGTGTATATTTGAGGTTTGATAGCTTACATTACCATTCCATATTTGATCAATACCATAATATTACATACCACTCAAAAGAAAATTTAATCATTTAAATTATTTCTTCTCATTTTATTTTATCATGCATCAAAGTTTATCCAGTTATTTGAATTCTATTAAAAGTTATAGTCAAATAATCAGAAAAAATGTCATAAATGAAGTTTCCGAATTCATCTTTTTTAAGTATGAAAATGAATAAAAATATGTTCTAACATGCATATATATAGATAATTAATTTTGAGGGCTTCTGAAAACTATAAGAACACTGTCATATTGTTCTACTTTAATTGCTGTGTTGGTTGAAGTCAAAACTACTCTTATCCCTCTGAAAATGGACATTCTTATACATTAAAAAAGGATAATAAATACAATTAAGAATGTTAACTCTTCATCCTTTTATATACCTAAGACATGCATAAATGCAGTATTTAAAATTCTCGAGTACGGCCTATTTAATGAACAGAACCATAAAAGATGCTACTAATATAGTTATTTAATTCTAAAGCTTTTATTCTAGTTCTTTAAAGCATTCTTCAAATATCAAATGCCTAAGCTACATATGCAAAATGACTAAAATACACAAAATTCTTTCTGTTCATTTATATCTAGAATAAATGCAAGAAATGCATGCTCACAAACCAAATGAATATATAAGCCATTCATATAAAGGCCTTAAAACAGCATATACATTTATGATAGTTTCCAAAAGTCTACATACCTGATATTCTGAAATGAATTCTAAAACCTGAAGGCATAATTTCCGGTTTGAGGTAATTAAGTTCTTGAGGCTGTAATATGATACATGAAATAAAATTAAGCATACACAGGCATACACTAGAATAAATCTGGACAGGATAAAACAGCAAATAAAATATCTCACAGAATAGTAAAAGCTGTAATAGGAATAGAATAATAAACACAGTTGAGCTCTATATACTGAATTTTCATATGTATGAGTTTCCCTCTGTTTTTTAAGCACTGTAAAAGTGAAATGTGTTATTTTTATTACATATAACTAATCAAAATATTTCCAATTTTCCCAAATACCAATTTTTAAGAGTCTCCCCCTTCCCTCAAACCTTTTACTGGGCTCTTCTGTAAAATGTGAAAATAGCAATCGCTGATAATATCTTTCATTCCATCACAGATAGCAGTCCAATCTTGGGTCCTATGAACAGGTCCTGACTTCCATACAGTTCCAATGAATCTTCCTGTCCCTGCAATTTTCTCTTTGCTCACCTCTTTGCAGAGTTTACTTTCCAACCCTACTCTTTAAGGACGACTTGCAAGAAATTTTGTTTAGCACATACCAGTCAGACAATGACAATGAAGCTGCTCAGTGGGATTATACAAGTAATTTTAATAATGTCCAACTATACTATAAAATATTACACCATCCTTCTAAAATTGAAGCCATAAATTAAGCAGACAGTAAAAAGTTAAATTAGGAAAAAACAGGTATTCTAATAAAACTATGGTATTAAATAACAAAGAGGATATGAAATGAAAGAAATTGCAATTTTGATGATAATGAAAATTATAATTTTCTAAAGAAAGAGTTGAAATTGCTTCTAAAGCTAATTCTGAGATTATGTGAAAACTGAGCAGCACAACTGCACATGAACTCAAAAACTGCTGCAAAACCTGACAAATGAAATCTAACACTAACATGACGAGATTCTGAATCATTAACAAAAGGAATCAAGGGACAAATAACAGAAAGTTAAGCAAAGTTAACTCCAAGCCAAGCAATCACTGAAATTTAGGAAAACCTTAAAAGATTTTTCCAAATTTAGATATGTAAAAGTTGCAACATAAGATGAAGTAGAAAAGTGGCCAAACTGACTTACATCACAAAAAAGATAAATAATTGACATATATCTTCAAATATATATCAAAATAATAGGAGTTTTCTTTTGTTAACTTTTCTACCTTTTTATTAAATATTTTTTTAATTATAATAGTTTGCATTCCTTTTAAAAATGCTTCATCTCACTTTAAATTATGTACAATTCAAATTTATAGCACATGCCATTTAATGTGATCATTTCGATAATCTTATCACATGGATGAAGTAGCACCTGTTTGTATACAAAAACATGGAAAATACATTGCTTATTGTGATCAACAGTTCCGTTAACATGCTCAAAATTGCTCTCAGGTATTTTCTTTATAAACTTTTGAAGAGTTCATTGAATACTACCTTTCTTTTCTTGATAACAATTTCAATAATATGCTGAGTCTTTCTCAATTACCCTATGCATTTGAGATATATGTTCTTTATTGGGATCACACTCTTCGATGACAGTAAAAAATTTGCCAAGCTGCATGAAGGCTCCATTCATACTTTTTAATTGTCAAAGTGCGGACGTTTTTATCAGCTGCTTCTTCCTCACTTCGATTGTTACAGAAAAATTTTTTAAACTGAAGTGAATTCAGATAAGTTCAAAACTGATTTAAAAAAAAATTGTCAAGTGACAGAAATGCCCATTAAAAAATTAAGTCAGCAAACAGCTTCAGTCAATCATTTCAAATCACTCACTCACACAGACACAATTAATTCTTTTTAATATCTTCTTTTCATTAAGATGATGATGAATTTGACACAAATGGACTCTTAATAACATGTAATTCCTCCATTCTAAATTATTCAACATTGCTAAAGAATGAACTGATATCATTTTTAAGTATGACATAGGTTAAGTCTATAGCCAAATTTTAGTGGAAAAAAAATTATACATAAAACAATTATTTAAAATAATTTAAACAATATTTAAGCCATCCAGCATTATTTCCAGGCAAATTAACAAAGCATATACGACTACTCTGTGGTTCATCTTTTTATTTTTATATTTCTCTTTCCATGCAAAATAATCAAAAATTTGCACCAATATTGGGCCATAATTTTATTATTACTTTTACAAGTCATTTGCATGCCTAGATACATTAAATAGTTACTACAAAAAGAGAAAATATGTAACAATTTTAATGAAGGCAGTTAAGGATAATTTCATGGGTCAATCTAGTAATTAATAATTAACGAGATGAAGAAAGAAAATGAAATATTTTAAGCTTTGCCAAATAGTAATGCACTAACATGTGGATGATAAAAAATATATTACTTTGGTCACTGGCAATACATTTCTCTTAAATCGCTGAGTGTGCTGATTAAATATGAAAGACAAATAAATATCTTATGCTTTGCCAAGTAACAATACATCACTTTTAAAGTGCTAAGTTTCTTAATCAAGAATTCTTTACCTTCACACAAAAACAGGATAATTAAAATAATAAAATAATAATAATAATTAATAATAATAATAAAAATTCAATATTTAGGCTTTAAGGGACTATGTATGTTCAAATCTGGTGGCTATAGTTACAACCATTTTTCCACATATCACATACATACGTAAAGATTGCTTTTTATTTAAAAACAGTGATAAACATCTTGCTTCATTTATGTTGGGTAATTAAGAACACTGAAGGAAAATAAAGATGCACTGTTGTCGTTGTAGCTAATCTCACTTGTCTGACCTAATCAGAACAAGCCCACAAATTTTATTACGGCAAGAAGTATATGATTATGTCTGCTGTTGGCATCAACCTTAAGCACCATAGAGATGACTGTACAAGTTTGCTAAGTTCTGCTCCAATTTTGAGAGTGTACCCAGGGGACAGGTTTGAGGGTCTTCCACCTCTTTTTCCCTCCCACCAAACCACATGAAAGAACTTTCAGCTCAGCATATATTTGGAATGCCCGTGTGCCCAAAGGAATTACAGGTGGCTCTCGACTTTTATACATAATCGGTTCTTGAAAATCCTGAATGTTGAATTTTTCAGAAGTAAAAGGATGTAAAAAATATGCACCAAAAACTGTTCTTTAAAATATTTATTTATTCAATAAGTATAAAATGAAGTTAAAGAGCCATGTTAAGTGGTTTCAGGTATTTTCTTTATAAACTTGTCAAGAGTCAGTTGAACACCACCTTTTTTTCCTCTTCTTGACAAAGATGTCTATAATATGCTGTGTCTTTCTCAGTCACCCTACATACCTGAGATATGTGTTCTCCATTGGGATCACATTCTTCCATGATAGACAAAAATTGGTCAAGATGCATGAAGGCTTCATGCATATTTTTAATTGTTAAAGTCATCAGCTTCTTCTTCCTCATTTATATTGTATGTTTCATAGTTGCACAATTAATATTTGCTTGACAGACGTACTGAGTGAGTTTCAATCAAACTGCTCATTAACATTTTCACTGTTGACATACAAGCTTAATTCATTTATAAGGTATTTCTCCCGCCTTCCTACTGTGCCTTCATGTTGGTTCTGCACGCTGGGCCGGTATTTCAGAGGTCTGTGGTTCGATTCCTGGCAAAGGCGATTGCTCATTTTTCATTTTGCCTGCTTCCAAAAAAATACCTGTCTTTACAGTGGCGCTCAAACTAAAAGGGTGATGGATGAGGATTCTCCACACCCAGGATTTTGTTATTGGGTCCCCTAAAAACCCCAGTCGCTCTTTAAAAGGGGGAGTATATAAGGTATTTCTCCCGCCTTCCTAGCGTGCCTTCGTGGTGTATGTAGTGGTTCCGCACAATGGGCCGGATTCGAGATACGTGGTCGATTACGGCGAAGGCGACTGCGCCATTTGCATCGTGCCTGGTTCCAAAAAATATAACTTAAGGGCGATACAAGGTCCGCACCCCCCACCCCACCACCCCCCCCCCACCCACCACAAAACACAACCCAAACCAAAACAAAAACAACCAAATCAAACCAAACAAAAACAAAAACAAAAACAAAAAAAACAAAACCAAAACAAAAAAAAAAAAACAACCAAAATTTCTCTTTTTTCGTTGTGTTAGGGTTTGTTGTTTTTTCCGGAATTTTTAATAATTTTGTTTTAAAACCCACCAACCCAAGGGGGGGGGGGGGGGGGGGGGGGGGGGGGGTTGGGGGGGTGGGGGGGGGGGGGGGGGGGGGAAGGGGGGGTGGGGGGGGGGGGGGGGGGGGGTGGGGGGGGGTGGTGGGGGGGGGGGGAGGGCGGGGGGGGGGGGTGGGGGGGGGGGGGGGAGGGGGGGGGGGGGGGGGGGGGGGGGGGGGGGGGGGGGGGGGTGGGGGGGGGGGGGGGGGGTGGGGGGGGGGGGCGGGGGGGGGGGTGGGGGGGGGGGGGGGGGGGGGGGAGGGGGGGGGGGGGCGGGGTGGGGGGGTGGGTGGGGGGTGCGGGCCCTACTATTTAATCCAGCTATAGTTCCCAGTGTTTCAAAATTTATAAAATAATTGCTTCGGGGGGCTTTTATTGTTGACTCTTATTTCAACCCACAGGTCTCCAATATTGTTTATTGTGCTCTATATATTATAGTTCTCCCCATAATCTGTTAATGTTGGTCCATCTTCTCAGTCACTTACTTTGGTCATTTACTCTCCTCATATAATATCATTTAAATATAGCTGTTACTGTTTGACCCATAGGCTGTATGAGGCAGGTAATACTGGGAGGAAGAAACACAACATTGATTTCCAGGTATAAACTCAGCAGAGATTTTGAGTGTCCTGGAGCATTGTCTAAGATAAATAATGCTTTAAATTGTAAATTGTTATTTTTACAATATTTCTTAACTGTCAGCATGAAATGAATAGTGAACCAACCTTTAAATATTAATGCAGTAGCCCAGGAATTTTTATTTGATTACTATATGGAAGAAATTTTTATCTTTCTTTTTCAAAGCTCTGATATTTTCTGCTTGGTAAACTAACAATGGCTTCAATTTTAAATCACCAGTGAAGTTTCTACCAAGAAGCAATGTCAATCAGTTTTTGGAAGCTTTATGTCCAAGAACAACTAGTGTTTCCCTTCGTTAAAATTGTTCAATTAAGCATTCCCTCCCAAAAATAAACTAGTCTTATCTATATTGAATATTTGACTAGAAGAATATTCTCCATGTACAATAATTCTGGAAAAGGAAAAAATAAATTCTCTCATAGCATCTTTATCTGCATAAGCTGATTCTCCACTGGATTTAGTATTATGCAAAGAATATCTCATTTTAAATTTGTCGAACAAGCCGTTATTTGCTTGAAACACCATGTTTGAATTTGCATTTAATCTAGCCTTCCAATCTTCATGCAAACAAAGAGTCTTAGCTTGAATAATAAAAAAACTCTGAGGGACATTATTTTGATCATAAATCCACGATGACAAAGATCTTTTCATTTCCTCCGTCACTCTGCCGTGTCTTTTGGAAACAATTTTTAAAGATATTTTTCCACAATTCTGAACATATTCTTTAATTCACTCTTATTTTTGAAAACTGAACATTACATAGATCTGTTTATATCATACAAATGTCCAGTTGAAGAAAGAGATTCACCGTTTCCAGAATGTTTAGTTATTTCCATCTTTGTCTTGATTGTATGAAATTTATGAAGCCTTAATTTCTTTTAGTTCATATAAAGACTGCAGTTTTTCATGAAATATTTAAACATAAAGAAATAAAATAGCAAAATGCACAACACATTGATACATGCCCTAATGAAAGACAGAAACTGTTTTAACCCCTTGCTCAGAATAACACAGTAGTAATTATGATTCTGAGAAGTCCTCTACTGTAGGAACTAATGAATGTTTGTGACCTATGTTACCTCACCCCTACCCTCATCATGGCTCAAACACCTGGCGCTGATGAGAGTAAGGGGGAAGAAAACTAGATGGAACGAGTGAGCCAAAAGCGGTTGGACGCACAAGCAAATTTTTTCATCATCAACAAAAAATCTTTAAAAATGCATGAAATAGCAAATCGTACAAAGGTAGAATGTGCAAAAGTGGAGGGTCACCTGTATACATTTACAATATCTATGTCTTCTCTAAGATTCAAACCCAGACACCTCAGAACAGTAGTCAAGAGTCAATAACCACTATCCCAATAGGCAGCCATATAAAGATATATTTACACGATCATTTTTCAAATTATATATGAAAATTATACCTGGATTTGCTGCAGAGTTGCTCATAAAGCAATGTTTCACAAACTTGTGAATTTAACTGTCCATCAAATAATGGAATCCCAAAAGAGCAATCTAAAAGCACCCACTCCTTTTCTTCCTGTAATGGAATAGATTTGGCTTCAAAAGAACCATCACCTTTACCAGTATGTGTAAATCGACTTTGATAGCAGACTTTACTTTCACTTGCTCTTGCACTTAATGCAGTAAAATTAGAGTATGAATTCAAATCAATATCTGAGTGTCCTTTCAGTTTCTGAAGGGCATTTCCATGAAATTTATTAAATGGTGCACTTGTACTAGATTTCATCATAGTTATATAACCACAGTTATGCTTAAGATCCATTTCCTGAGCAAGAATTTTGACTGCATAGTGATCAGTGAGTAACATTTCTGTTGTGCTGAGATCTAAGGAAAGGAACTTAATATTAATACACAATCTACACTTTTTAATAACATAGTATTAGAATAGTTTTATTAATAAACTTTGCCAAAGAATGAAAATGAATTTACAGAAGCTGCATAAGTTAAATAAATATATATATATAATACCTGTATTACAACTATAATAAATTGCTTATATGGGCTTTGTTAATTTGAACTTTTAAAATGACAATAAACTGAATTTTTAGATTATTAAAAAAAAACTTCCTATTACTAAAAATTGCAAGAATTAATTTACTGATACCCATTTTCTGGCAAGTATTTGACTGACAGTTTGTCAATCTTTCTTGACTGACAGTTTGTCAAACTTTCTTGATTAACAGTTTGTCAATCAAATTCTTATTAGTCGAGAAAAGAAAGCTTCATTCACATTTTCTCCATCTAACAGCACTCATCTACTACTGATTTGCTGTACAAGTAAAAAGGGAACATAAAGATGCAGTTGATCATATCTCTTCAACAAAAAATCTAGTATTTCTTAAAATATCATAAATGATATACAAGGTTATGTGTCCCATCTGGTGCTCAAAGGGATTTGTCTGCAATAATCTATTCTTTAAGTTTGCAAGCAGAGATTTGTTTTTGTGATTTGAAGGATCTATAGTTGCGGTCTCAAAAGACTGGAGGATCATTATTGTAACTGCTTAATCACAAAGCGAAAAAACTAAAGTACAGAAAGGAATCGAGAAACGGAGTGATATCTCTAAAGAATATGGAATGCCTCCTAGCAGTTAACTAATGATTAAAAGTAAAATCATAGGCAAGATATAAGAAGGCAGGGCAAACAGGAAACGAAAAAGGGAAGTTATCCTGAATATGGGAAATGGTTTAAGAATCACAGTATATCTTTAAGCAAATCAGTGGTGGTTTAGGTGAAGGGTAAGGCACGAAATAAAAAAATACTGAAAGCTTAAGGGGGTTTAATGGTTTTAAACCTAGAATATGTCGAGGAATAATTTTAATTTACATAATTATTTCAAATACGTTATTTCAAAAAAGTTGAATTAGTGGGCAATTAACTAATTATTACTTTAAGTTTATGATCTGTATTCTGGAATGAAGTTGTAAAATATTTTTTGATACATTTTTTACGGCATGTGAGAAACAAAACACATAAAAAAGAAAAATATGTTTCCACATGCTCAAATTTAGCAGGTTATGGTTTCAGATGATTTAATTGAAAGAATTTAAATCATTTAAAAAACTATTCATGAAGAATTATGTTAATCTGAATTGTACTAAAATAAGTAAAATGATACTAAATGAAAATTATAGTAACTCTATTAAGAAGGTAAAATTTTAACAAACATGTATACAAAAAGCAAATTTAGAGTTAAAAAAATTAAAAAAATGTGCAAACATATAAAAGATTTAAATTTCGAACTAATCTGCAATATCATTTAAATTAAGATAGCATAAGTAAATCA